GGGGCTACGCTGCTCTCACTCGGTGCGTGTACTAGTGCATGTATGACAGCGCGCGGTGTCAACAATGAGCGCGTCCAGAAGGTAGAAGGTGCATTGGCTCACCAGTGACTTCCCAGAAGTGTGCGCCATGACGTGCTGCCAGTTGAAGCCCGTGCTATAGGCACATGGGAATAGTCACAATGACATGCCTCCATCACCTATGTCTCTTGACATCTCCGAGCTTTCGTGCCACCTCGCGGGCCAGCTCGTCGCGGCGCACCCCGCCTATGACGCGCTCTTCGACGGGTTCACACTGGCGGAGGATCGGGGGAACAAGGCAGCGCGCGAGGAGTGGGCGTGCGGAGTGCTCTTCGCAGCTGCGAAGGCGTCAAAGTGGCTCGGCTTGACAGCACACGCCGTTCTCGGGCGCGGTCTCCTGGCCGTACTTCTACCTGTGGCCGCAGCGCCCCGCAGGCCTCATCGAAACTGCGTTGGCGGAACTGGGGCGGCGGTGGCTGCCGATCCTCGATGCGTCACGCGCTCGACGAGGCGGGTGTGGACCGCGTACGAGATCCACCCGGGCGATGACCTGCACGACGGCGTCTCCTTCGAGCGGTTGGCAACCACCCCCACGCGAGCATCCTGTACGACTCGTCACACTTTGTGTAACAGCAGCTCGACCACCTCTTGTTCATCGATATCTACCACAAGCCGATCGAGGTCTTCCATGTAAAGGATGTGGAGTTCGTACCGGATTGTAGGCAGGGCGTCTACGGGGCTACGCCTAATGGGCTGGTAAGGCGTGGCGGAGGGCAGCCCATGCGACCAGGCGGCAATCCGCGGGCCCAAGTTTAACGCACACGACAGGGAGATGCGCCACTCGATCGACGCCTTCATCGAGATGGGCGAGGGCACGATCTCCGTACCAGCACTTCCGGAACATTACGAGCTGCCGGCGCTACGTCCGCCGGATCAAATGCCCCTACGATGCTACAGCTGCTGATTGATGTGCTTGATGTGCGCATTGGGTTAGCCAAACTTTCCAGCCCCATCTCGACAGCCAAATCCTACCACCACATGTATTCGTGAAGAGCACGTACAACATTACACGCGAGAGAGCCTGGCGTCCGCTCTGGGAGAAGGAGACGGCAAATGTCCTAGAGTCATGGAGGCTTGGCAAGGACGATTCAGGAAATAAATGCTCGTCGCCAGATAAAGGCAAGGGTTTGGGGTCCTAGAGTTAAGCGAGTCGGACTGTGAAGCGTAGGAGCATGCGTGACGGAGCAACTTGACCTGGCGGTTCTCGGCCACCGTAGATCCCACGCCACTAGAGCCAAACAGTAAATGTTCCACGCCACAGCATAGAGCGAAATATGGAGCACGTGACAGGACGCGTCACTCCTTGCTTCGCGCGTCCATCACGGTCACCCCATTACGGACGCGTTCTGCTTTGGTTGTCTTCAGCGTCGTACAGTGCGGTTGCTGCACTCTTACCTGTTTCACTGTAGACACTCTGCATATACCCGCTCCTGTCGACGAAGTGCTCGATATTGCTTCTTATCTCTCGCGAAATCCAGCTTTTACTCCGGCTTGAACAGGCTGGACGATGCAGCGCTCGCGTCCTACTTTCCTGATACACCGAGCATTTGCGGCAAACTGACCAAGGATACGCGGCATCACATTTCCCTTGGGGAGACCACTGATCAGCACATCGGATACCCGGCTAGTTCGTAATCAAACACGGACCTTTCTCAATCCAATCCCTATCTCGTGGTCCTATTCCATATTTTCCGATAATGAGACCCCCACCATCATCACATCGAAAACCATCAAGCACCTTGCACACACTCTCCAACCAGCAACGTTCCTTCCCTTCACCCTCCACGGCCTCGCCCTCCAACCCTACCAGCACCCGTCCACCGCCCCATCCCTCCCGACACTCCTCTCTCGAACTCTGGCGCTGGACACTCACCAAGGCATCGACCGCACCCTGCTTTGTTCGGGACGTACACCGCATGCGCGAGAGCGGGTCCAAAGGTGCGTTTATTACAGCGATCCCGTCCATTGTATACCGCGCTCGCCCCTGAGCAGCGCGGGTCGGGTCAAAGTAAAAGGAACGAAATAGAGTACTGATATGCCCTTGTCCTCTCCACAACCTCGCTCCCTAGACCACGACTTCTTCTGGCTCGGCTGCGTCCCGTGCAGGACCGTGAAGGTACTCGGTATCCTCGTCGGGGTGCAGGTGTGCGAACGGCGGGTTATTTACACGCGTGAGTGCGTCACGTGGTCCCATCATAGTCTTTCGGATTGAAATAGCGGTCTGGTATGTAGTAGACGATGGGACCGCCACTGTCGATTGTGTACACCGACACGAATCCCAACCACCTCCCCCGCCGAGCCCCGCGAAGGTGAGGAACACGCCAAAGGGGAAGGGCAAGGAAAGGGAAAAGGCTGATCCATACAAATGCCCTTCCACGCCGGAGCTAAATGTCAAACATCGAACGGATACGCAGGGTCAGACGTTACCTCTGGTTCCGGTGTTGCCGACCTCGCTCGCGGACGTCGGGGCTGCTGTAAGTATTACTGGCCGTGTCTATATCAGGCATGGGGTGAGGCATCTGTATGTGGACGAGATAGGTAGGTCGTGTTGCCGGTGTGGCGTCCTTCTGCCGAAGCTAACTGGTCTTTCTTTGCTGCTTGGTCGTATCACGCATGTGCTTGACATCCGAAATCGCATACGAACGAACGATATTCGACGAACGAAGGACTCTGTACCTCTGCAAATGACGAGCCAGCACACTGGCTGAGCGTCCTCGCTCTGCACAAGGAGAAATACTCCCAGCCAGGCCCGTTCGTCATTCCCTTCCAGCCGCCCGCAGCCAAAGCCGCTCCCGCTCCTAGTGAAACCCAAGAAGCTCTTGCACCCTCCGATACCGACGATCCTATCCTAGTCCCAACGACGCCCAAGCGCCGCCCGCACTCCCCCTCGCCCGCACCCACGTCTTCCCCCGTCGCCTCCTCCAGTCCCACGAAATGCGAGAGGACGGATACAGTACGTTATCAACACCGGTCGCATTTCGTGTTGCATGACACTAACTTGACTGCAGGAAGAGGAGCAGGTACGCCTGAGGCACCCCGCGCGCCTGCACTCGCGCGACCTGAATCTAAATACGTTCCGGATATACGTGAAGCATTATATGGATAATGCGCCCCCGCCTGCGGGGTGCCGAAGGTGTGGAGGGGGCTATTGTCCACACGTCGGCGGAGCTGGGTGTGAGGAAGATGTCTTCAGGACCCCGCGGAAAGGACGTGCAGAACGAGATGCTGATATCAATGAGACACCGCATGCGACGGGGCGGGGTCGGAGCGGGACGCAAGGTGAACGTGAAAGCGTGTATGGCTTCACGCTGTCGTATCTCAGGCGCGTGCCCGAGCTGCGGCTGCTGGCGCGGCGAGTTGTGGAGGCGGAGGCGAAACGGAGGAGGAGAGCGGAGCGCGAGGCGCTGAAGACCCAGATATTGAATCGCACAGGCACAGGCGGGCGCGGGGGTTCCGGTGCCAGTGGCCGAGAGCCAGTTGGGAAGAAGATGAAGAGACTGTTTGAAGTGACAGTTGTGAAGTTGTATGAGGAGGGGAGTATTGTGCTTTGGGAGGGACCAGTGAGACGGCCTTGGTGGCAAGGACAGAGTCAGAGTGGGAGTGAGGGGCTGTGGAAGATGGGGTCGAGCTCTACAATGTTGGCTTCTTCTGTTTGCAGCGTGGCAACGTCGGTCGGCGGGGAAGACGACGATGGGGACGAGGGGGACCTATCGGATCCCCCGGCAGAGGAAGAGGCCTACGTTCCCGTTACCCCACGCCTGCTCGCGGGGTACGTCGAGGATGCCATTCGGGTGCTCACTTCGCGATCCGCTGAGGAGCTCCGCCTTGCACACTGCCGTCATAAGAGGGCCCCGGCACATGTCGACGGAGTAGGGCCGACGAAGGAGGAGATTGCGCGATTTTTGAGAAGGGGAGACGGACGGTGGGAGAGGGTAGGGGAGTGGGTGGTCGAGGAGGCGCTGGAGGGGCTGAGAGCGGAGGGGAGGGTGTGGTGTGCGGGCAGGGGGCGGTGGGAGCTATGTTTGTGACGTATGGTAGCGGGTGGGTGACAGAAGGCTGGAATGCACGCAAGGGGGACCGAGGAAGGAAGGATTTTCGATGCTTAATCTATCTTAATATCCGCTTCATAAAGTTACTCAGGTAGAGATGCGAGGTGGATACATACCCTACAGCGCATCTCAATATTGTTCGTCCAGCCCCCTCTTTCCCTCCGCTTTTCCTACATGGGTCCTGTTAACCGTACCGGCTGCCCATTTCTGATCGGAGACCGAAGGGATTGCGGTGGCTTCAGTAAGCTTGCTGGAGGGGCGCAATCGAAGGTATCCTCTGGTGAGTTTCTGGCTCATCTATCACAATCTGAGGGAAGAACATAATTTGTATACTCCGCAGTCTCAGTGAATGCTAATCTATGCTTATCCATCTCGCCCAGGTCCCTATGTTCCTGCTGTGTGGGTCAGAATGCTCGGCCAACCAAATACTGGGTCTACTTCTGTCCTTCTCAGACTCAAACGAGGAAGATTGGAGTGGTGCCTACGGGAGAACCTGATGAAGGAGATCAATTGGGAAGTGACTTCCAGATACACACCATGGTTTTCGCTACTTCATCAGACCAATTTGCAATTTAAACAAGATACGACGACGGCTTGTATACGCTGCAATGTATAGTGGTACATTTTCATTATGCTTCTTTTAATTCTTCCCTTCTCTGCGGCTTGTGATACTCAATCCACCAACTTCATCGTTTTCTCCTCCCCCTTCTCGGGCCAGAAAGCTTCCTCCAGCTCCACAACACGAGCCCAGACTTCCTCTGCCTTTTTCCAGGCGTCGGTACCGGCGGTGATACCTAGTTCGTTAACAAGGTCCGCGAGGTCATCAACGAACCTGATGAACTCGGCGTTCGTCCAATTGGACACGAAATTAGACACAGCGGTCGTGGTCGGTGTGAGCGCGTGCGTTGTGGTAAATTTATCCAGCACGGAGCCGACATAGCGCCATGAGTCGAGGTAGGCCTGCATGATAGATAGATAGGTCATGAGAATTCCGAATGGAAGGCAGCAGGACGGGCACCGCGTACCCTCTCCATCGCCCACAGGAACACCAGGCCTTCTTGGAGGCTTCCCAGAGTAGCCACGCGTAGCATCTCCGCCGTGTAGTCTCTGGTTGCCTTGCGCTCCTTCCATCCTTCGATATCGAGACCCCATTCTCTTGACGTCTCCTCGAAGAACGCGACTTCCCTTTCCACGTTCTCGAGCGCATAGGTGAGCATTTTCAGGATACGCTGGTTCCTGCGGTCCACTGCGGAAGCGATGCGGTCCCCTGAAGAGTACGGGATTTTTGCAATGAGCAGTCCAATGAACCGCGGATAGGCGTGCGCGGCGTACAAACGGTCTTGATACAGCCAGAATGCTAGGCGGTCATGGGTGATAGTACCGTCGCCGCATGATGTGAGAAATTCGTGCTCGACGGCAGCAGCATAAGGCCTCGGGGTCGATAGCGACACGAGCCTGCTCGTAAGAGTTTCTATGGCCAGTGGTGCCGTCATTATAGCTCGATCTTGACATACCCGAAAAGGGAAGAATGTCGGTAACTTTGAGCCTTTCGCGGTTCAATTATTCAATCTCCGCGTGCGGACAAACTCGCGTACGCGACGACCAAAGCTGTGTAACTGTGCTTCGAGGACGACAGCGACGACAGCGGGCTGCTAACTGGACTTTATTGTATAACACCTCAGTTCTTGATATCTTGCTTTGCTTTTCAAATAATGGCTGCTGGATTCAACAGGGCACGGAAGCCATATAGCGTGTGCCACATCCTTTCTTGTCCACGGACTTCTTGACTGAGGATGTGTTTCAGCGGCCAAGTCCCCGAGGGAGAGCGCCGGAGGGCGCGTGGACTCATGACAAGGCACCAGGAGTCCTAGCGACCCGCACTGTCAGTGACCGACCCTCTGCGGCAGGCGGGTTCACCAAGCTCCTGGTGTCAAACCTGCACTATGAAATCACACCGAAGGACTTGATCGTTCGCAGATTCATCTCGTATCAGCATTGAAACACATCGTAATGCGAGCTTCTCAGGCGATATTTGGGCAGATAGGCACGCTCGTGCGCGAGCCGATAATCAAGGTTTGAGAGTCCGAATGACCAGAATTCACCGCCCATATCGACTCCTTTCGGTTCGATTTTCGGAATCGTTTAAAGTACGATCGTAGTGGTCGATCAACAGGCGTTGCCATAATACACTTTGAGACCGCCGAAGAAGCTACAAGAGCTAAAAACCAATTCGATGGGGCGCTGGCGAAAGGTAACGCTGTGTTTCCATGTATCATGCTCGTGTAGCTCGGCCTCTGACGATGGAAACCTTCTGTGCATAGGTCAAGTCATGTCCATCACATACGATACCGTACCGCCTCCCGGCCCACGCAGGGAACGACGCGCAAGTGCGCCGTCTTCACTCATCGATCGGATCCAAAAGCCGGCCCTCTTGGATAGGCTCACTCAGGACGATAGCCGTATCCGAATGACGACTGCACCGTACGTGTGGCACATAAGCATCACTTTGACCGCCAGAACTTACATTATGGAACAGAAAATCAGGCCCCGGACCTATCCGATCGCGAGGAAGAGGGGCCGTCCGCGCTGGCCCGAGAAAGCCCAAGACAGCAGAAGATCTGGATAAAGAGTTGGACGCGTTCATGACTGATGGGCCGAAGGAGACTTCCGCTCCATTGCAGACAGGCCCTGAAGAGGATGTCGAGATGGCATAATCCGTCCGTAACCACTGCGAGTATTGTACATTACGTCTGATATCTCCCGATACTGTTAATTGATTTCATCTTGCGTTCCATTGCATGTTGCTATGCGAGCTTAGTGCGCTGCACATTGTCTCATCGCCATTACGGGAGTGATCCCAATCTAAATCATCTTGATGAGCAGGAGCATATCACTGCATGGACCTCTCCTGCTGATGGAAACCTGCCCTCGGGCCGTCTTGTTCCCGTTGACGGCCCTTGTCAGCTCATTTCGTGGTCGGAGGCGGTCGTCCACGTTCATGTCCGGGGTGATTGCCTGATCCAAGCTCCCGATTGCCCAGTGGGTGATATCGGGCTCCCGATCATGCTATATGTCGGCCGGTGCTTAGGACTTGTCGATGGTATGGAACATGGACCGGTACGTCAGTCGGTGTTCCCTCTGGTTGACAGTCCTGGGTTCTCCTAGCTGCGTAACCTCTGCCAGTTCCTGGAATACCAACTATCGACAGTGCGTTCAGACAGGTAGTAATACGTGCCCTCATGCGCTGTTGCTTATGGAGCGCTCTTTGCCCGATGTCGAGTCGGGATATGGACCGATATTTGGAATTCACGTCAATATACTCGACATCTGTCCAACTCATGCAGTAGCATCCCAGGGCCGCCAGCGCAGCGTCAACTATCATACGGGTCCTCCTCGAAAGTGTACGGACTTGGCTTCTTGGACTCAAGGTAAGCGGATTAGTTTTCTAGAACGCTGGAATTTTCACCTCGACGCCTCTGACACGATCTAACGGTGTGTTAAACTCTTTATACGTTTGATCGCCGGTATACACTGACGAGGCCGGCGGCGGGTGGCGTTGATTAACTCGTGCAGTTCTTTGACTGTTCTCTGTGGCGCAGTAGCTGGGATTTGCGTGCTGGACCCTCAAGACTCGGGGCTGGGATATGCAATTGCTTTACGCCATGCCATGGCCGCCTCGCTTTTGTGCGGCGTTGGACCCTGAGTGCAGGTGCGCTCCGTTTCTATCGTCGCTATCTAGGTTCGTCTAGGTGCATGGCAGTACGCGTGCCCCCTTCCATTGTGTGAAGGCGCGAAGGCTTATAGTGTCTGTTATCACCCCAACGAGGTACTCGACTGCAGCATACGCGGCATTGACTCGATGTGCCTCCGACTTAAGTCCTCGGAGATGTTGTCCAGACCTTATTTCCTTCCCACCCGTATATCCAATGTACTTACGAACAGCTTAGGTGGCGTTGCTATTATTCACATCCCAGCAGATGGATCGCGCCCGGCCCAACTGATCGAGGTAGGCGAGTGGCTCCTATTGACTGTGGATCCGAAGCAGCTCCTTGATCACCCAGGCACCCGCGTCTGGGGCTACGCAGCGGGATTCTCAAGGGGATCTACATCCCACAATTCAGTCAGCCAATAGACTACGAACAAGCTTCAGATGAGGAGCGCCGCAGTGCAAGAAGAAGGCCAGTGCTGGCACTACTCCGGGTGTTCGTTCGTGAAGCACATATTCACGTGCGTGTTAGTGTGGCTAGGATAGGATTGAGTTCGCAATGATCGAGTCCCTGGCTGACAGAGGATGGCGGAGAGTCGATACGGTATGCAAACCGTTCTCTTCTTTCAAGTTCGTAATTCAGGAGTATTCACGGCGAAATCATGTTTGAGCACTCTGGACCGGCGCTGGTGGACCGTGCTGGGATCCTGGCAAGAATCTCAGGGGGAATGCCAGACTCTCACTGACGGTGACGTCAGCTAAGATATCATCGAACGAACGTTTCATGACTCGCCTGGATAGGGTAAGGAGCCTATTCGGGGTGGAAATCGCTGTTGTTGACAGTAACCGCCGGCTCGCTAGGCCTGATGTTGTGGTCACGCTATACTCGACTATCCCGCCCTGCGTTCCACTGGACTCCTTGCCATAACGATATAGTAACGTCGCCGTGCGTTGGTATCTCGATGGCACTATAGCCTCCCCATATTCAAGGTCGTACGGGACTCATTTCACGCAGGTACTCGCACCCTAATCTGATCCATGCATCCATGCATACGCAGGCTTGTTGAGTCAATGTGTTACTAGGTGAACGTTGCAAGCGACATTTTTGCTGCAGTATTATGACTTGACTGGATGTACTGTTAGAGCCCGGTTCTGCCGCTAAACCTGATTGAGAAACCCGGGGACCACTGGATCACGGCGACCTCAGAATAGACTCCTTCCCTTCGAGGAATGGGGTGGGGATCTGATGGACGGGGGCTGTCGTAAAGCTAGCTGCCAGATATCTCTAGGCACGACATCGGGCGGACCCGTTGAAGAGAACATCCAGCGTGCCGGACACGTAAGAGCGTCCGTTCCTTCCTGCTTCACTGTGGGCAAGCTTATTCTACGAGATAGACAGGCCCGTCGCACGATGTGGATATTGATATCGGCCTCCTCATTATTCTGCAGTGGTGGGTTCATACGAAGGTTGGGGTTTCCGAGGAACCACCTGCAATTAGTACGCATACGCCACCATTAGCTCATGTTCTATGTAGGTCGGTTCAACATGCCTGCGGCTATTGGGCGCTCCAGTTAGCTTGCGTTACCCCCCCCCCCCTTATTCTGCATAGTATTATCCATCGCCGCGGAGTCTAAAACTGAGCCAATGTGTAGCTCCGAACCCTCACGGAGGCGGATTGTTTTACTAGGATGGTGCTACTTCCGCAAGCAGAGGAGAATCCCCACTTGTATATACTGATGTGTATACCGATGTGCGATATCATCGATACGTTCCAGCAGTATTTCCGTCGGACCTCGTGGGGGAGTATCGTGAGCGTCTGCAACCTATGTGACAGGCGTAAAAGGCAGGCTTCTTGAATGGATCCGCAGTGGCAAACACGCTTCTCAGGGGATTCCCACCCGCGCGGTACTTGCATTTGTTTGCGATCGGCCTAATCATAGCTGACGAAGCTGCATTTGCAGGTTGCTGTGATGCAAGAGCTAAGTGCGAGAGCTGTCAGGATGCTTCCGAGCCACCGCACAGTGGTCAACATACTATATCGACAGCCGAAGCGCCCTGACCCTTCTTAATGCCTCGGAGCAGCCATGTATAAACCTTCCTGGATCTCTGCGGGCAGTCGATAATCTGTCTGTCCAGATAATTCTGCAATCTGCGGAAGTCTGCTGCTCGCCTCATTTTCATATATAACAGGTCCGCTCATACACCTGAGACCCTATCACGCTCATCAGCATAAGGTTCTACAGCTTATGGTCATGGGTACGGTGGCTAGGCTCCGGCTGCGTCCAATGGACATACTGATGAGTTCGTTATAGGCTCTCACACACAACAGGCTCTATATTTGTCCAGCCAAAGCTCGGACGCATGGATGCCGCCCGAGGCTACTGCTCCCCCACATCACTGGTCGGGCTCTATGTATCACAGAGGTTCGCACTACGGCGCCGGAAATGAGCCAATCTACAGCGGCGCAAGCCCGCTGGAGCTCTATCCCTCCGACTACTCAGGCGCCAGTGATTCCCCAGACCCTGATTACATCTCGCATAGCTTGCACATTCAATCATCATCTCTTAGGATGGACACCCGCTCGTATACCCTCTCCGACGCTCTTAGACCCAGGCACCGCGACTCCGAGTGCCTGGCGGCTCATTTCGCGGAGAATGGAAGCAGTCAATCGAGCCGCCTGTCCTCCGAGCCCGTGGTATGTCTTCCGAAGGATACCCGGTCTCCATCCGTAGACCGATCAGCGACGACAACGCCTTCAAATGCGGACCTAGAGGGAGCGAGTGAGCCAAGCACTGCGCAGCGGGTAATATTGGTGAAGGAGGAGAATGAAGACTCTCTTGAAGGTCTGTTCGTTCTCGAATCGCAGGCACTCCCCGCGCCCGAGGTCGTCGATTCTGCTCCTAATCTTCGCTTCCGACGCCCAAGGACGCCAACCACCGAGGCGATGCGCAAGCGCATGACTGTGTTCCATGTCAACCCATTTGCTTCGTCCCGAGCTCAGGCCGGTTCATCGGGCTCGTCGTCGAGTACCAAGAAAGAGCCATTGGACCCTGCGTTCCTGACATTCCAGCTCCATGACGGCACGCTCGAACCTGTCGACGACCCCGAAATCCAGTTCTTTGTTACTTTCGTGGACGAGTGCGAATACGACGAGGATTCGGATGAGGGTGACGATCCAGGTCACATTTCATGGCCACATTCTGTTGTCAAACGTCACAACGACATATATCCTATGAGGCAAGTGCCTCACGTCGGAAATCCTTTCAACGAGTTCACCGGACTCGTCATGAACGGGAGGGTTGGTGGTTCACGATCAGCAGATGGGGGACAGGATTGCAGTTCAGCTCTCTCTACTTCGACTGCGGGAGAACGAAGGAACAAGCGGTATGATGCCTCCGCTAAGCAGGCGAGTGAAGTGAGCTCTCCGGGGAAGAAGAAGCCCAAAACACACGAGTGCGCTATCTGCCACAAAGTTTTTCCTCGGCCCAGTGGCCTATCTACACATATGAATTCCCATTCAGGTGATAAGCGTAGGTCTCTCTCCCCCACTTGCACTTAAATCCTTGGCTTAGTCGTTTATCCCCTGTCCAGCATTCAAATGCCCGATACCAACCTGTGACAAATACTTCACCGTGCGCTCCAACGCGAAGCGACATCTCAGGACACATAGATCGCTCTCTCCATCCGATCCCATATTCGGCGGGCCTGCGTCAAGCACGTCCAATGGAGAGATCGAGTTCGACGTGCCCCTCGTCACGCACATACACGAGATGGAGCCTAAGCGCCTTCGATGGACACGCCCCAGCGTCGCGCTGCGACCGATAAGCGAGTTACTGGAGAGTAGACCAGCGAGCTCCCTGGGAGGGGGGAGGCGGGGGCTGGGCAGGTCCAAGTCGTTGAGCCGTGGGTCGGATGTGGAGGATAATGGCGAGGACGATGGGTCTATGAGCGAGGGAGACGAGGTGCCTGCTATACGGCATCGAGCATGACTTGATTGCTGGTTCTCCTATAACCAACGACCTGGACTATGTTTTGCTGCCCTTCTGTGTATACCCAGCTGCGGTGTTCCCTGACTCCTTGCTGAGTGTATAGATACCATCGTAATTGTCACACTATCTTACATCCGTGAAGCGTCTTGCTTATAACTTATACACGCCTTGGTTGAGCCCTATGTTCTTAACGCAGTCCCAGTACGAGGTATGATTGTACGACCCTACACATATAGGTTTTAACACATTACAGGTATTTATATATTTCAACCTTGTCGACATTACGCCTAGGAGTGGAAGGTCACCTCCCAGAGCCTCGCACACGCGTCGGCACCTGCACTGACTAGCTTGCCCACGTGTCCGTCGCTCTCGAGCCAGACTACCGTATTAACGCCGCCGGGCCCAGCGTTTTTGATTGCAATGTTACGCAGGGGCTTCTGCACGCTCCACACGTACACGTGTGTATCAAGCGAGCCGGAAGCGCAGTGCTGGCTATCCGCTGTCCACGACAGCGAGTTTATCCTGGCGGAATGGAAGGACCATCGCGAGGTCACGACCTGTAGCGCGTACGCATTGTTAGATATGGTTAGGTATCCGGGCGATGCGCCCCGTCACAAGACAGACCTTCCGTTCGTCGACTTTGAACAGAATAACTTTGCCGCTAGACTATTCGGCTCCGTCAGCACCATCCTATCATTGAAACGGCAGGCAGGCAGGAAACGCACATCACCGGCGGCTAGGAAGGCACCGTCGGGCGAGAAGGCGATAGCGCTGACAGTGCCTTTGTTCCCATCCAGCGTCGTGAGCTCTTTCAACGTCTTCCCGTCCCACTCGTGGAGATGAACTTTCTGATCCTTGATTAAATCCATATTGAGTTGAGCCGGTAGCGTAGGAAGAACAGACCCTAGTCTTACTTCGCCGCCGACAGCCACAAGGGTGTTGTGCGCTGCCACAGTACTGGGAACGAACTTTGTCGATATCTCCGAGACTTTCTGATTCGACCGTATTGCCTCCACAGAGTTCACCTCCGCTACGAAGACAGTTCCGTCGGCAGCTGCTGCCACGGCCTTGGGCTGGGAGGAGAGAGACAACGCCGCAGGCCTGCCAGAGAATGGGTGGGGTGAAAATTCGAACGGATGCGGACTTGGTAGCAGGAACCCACGTGAAACTGTTCTGCTCAATTTCCCGCAGCTTGTCGTCGAATCCCACGGAAACTACCTTTCCGTCTGGGGTTGACGAGAGCCCCGTGACAAGATTAGTATGGCCATCACCGGCTATATAGGACGCTTCTCCATTCGCGACCGAGAACTGTACAAGGCGGCCTTCTGCCGTACCAGTGAGGAACGTATCAGATGAGGTCGATAAGGCACTTGTTATGGCTTTCGTCGCCCCCTACACGATTTCATGCGCGCGAATTAGCACGAATGCTGTGAGTACCGTCCTTGCGGAAATGAATGTCGACTCCACCTACTCGAATTATACGGGCCGGCTTATCACCTACTCTAGGGTCGAAGACGTTGAGGTCGCCAGTCATAGACAGCGAGACTAAGCTGTCTGGGACGGCCCACACGTTCCCTACCTGCTGGTGATTGACACCGGTGCCTACCGTCCAACTTGCGGTGGACTTTCGGGACTCGACGTCCCCTAACGACAGGCAGCAACATCCTCGATCAGACAGCTGCTCGGCAGACTGCGACGAAATACTTACACAACTTCACGGTGCAATCCATGGACGATGTCACCACTGACTTATTATCCAGGCTCCAGCTGCATGCCATCTACCGTTACCGGGACCGGCGAATAGTGAGCGGGTGGTATTGATAGCCGGGCGTCGGTGACCTACAATGGATCCTTTGTGACCGCTGTCATCGAGCTCACCTAACATGTCCCCGGTCTTCCCATCGTAGAGGAATATTTTGGCATCCGAGCCAACACTGACAAAGTGTTCACCGCTAGGGGAGTATTTCACATCTTGTACAAACTTGGTATGGGTCTTGATAGTCTGGGAAGGATGACAAATCTACTTCAGCCCGGGTGACTGAACTCTATTGAACCTTGTGCACCTTATCGAATTTGTACGGGGGGCCTTGGGTCAATCGAGTATGATTAAAAGGACAGACTGGAGTTCCGCCGATCACATGGCCTACCTTGATGGAAGATTATCTGCGTGTCATCAGACGCAGTGACGGCCCGATAGGGGCGTTGCTGCCGGATGGCTACCGCATTTACGACCTGGAAGGAGGAGGTGCATTAAAGCAGTCGCAGACATCGCGGACAGATGCGCACCTTCGAATGCCCGATAATCTCACCGGTGGATGACCCGGTGTCCATCATGAAAGCGTGTCCAAACCTAACACATTTAATATTAGAATTACCGACATGAGATGCTTACGCACTTCTCCCGACCGTCCCCGACAGCGATAATCCGCTTGCTTTCACCATCCCAGTCGAGATCGTTTCTGAGAAACTCGTGAGTTACCTGCAGGAAGCCCAGACTGAGACTGTCATAGATACATTCTCCCCGAAATAACTTTGTATTCTCCCTTGAGACTGTTCTCTTCGCCCACTATATCCCAGACGCGAACTTTACATCGCCTTAATCAGGCTCCGCAGATCAGGAGGCGAGTCTGCTCACCGGTTCCAGACACGTCACCAGAAGCACAGTAGTAGCCTGAAGGTGACAATCGAGCGACAGTGGCGTTCTGAGTATGGCCAGCGTAGGCGGTCGCGATCGCTGGATCCTACAGGTACATTGCATCGGCAGAATTTTAGTTTGAAGCACCCCTCTGCCACTGGTAATTCCCGACTTACGTTCAAGTCCCTTATCTAGCGGCATTTCGCTTTGGGTGAAGACAGGTCTGGCTTCATCTCGGTGGCAAGACGTACAATGACTGTCTTCCCATTCGTGTATATGATCTTGCCTTTGCTGGCGCTGAGCTTGGTCGATACACCGCGTGCTGTAGTGGGGTTACAAGGATAAAGTCTCACGGGCTTGAAAGACATTGTGGCGAGACTGTGGTTTGTGAAACTTAGGAAGTGTATGTCAAGGTTACTATTCAAGGTCGGTGACTTACTGCGCCGGCGGTTCGACAGGAAGGTACTGCCGCAGGCTGGCGCATCAATTTCTGTTCGTATCTGATCTCCGTGGAGAAATCGGGACTTTTACTTATAAGGCAACACACGCGCCTCCTTCCAACTTCCATTCAGTGTCTAAAAACCTGGTGATGAGAGCATCGTGTTATACCAAATACATACAATCGTGTGGGGCAGATATCGAATACAAGGGGTAGAATTGCTCAGTCAGGGATGCGTGAAACAAATGTCAGGTATTACACCCTGCATTGATCACGCTGCGAGGTTCAGATCGTCACCGTCGAGATCAGGATGAATACTCTTATCGTAGTTCTTGAATGGATCCCTCCTCAATGCTTCTGCTTCAGTAGCTGGCGCTGTATCTCTGGCCCCGGCTTTCTTGACCTTGATCACCGGTCCTTCGGTGACAGTAGTCTGTTGCGTGACAGAAGTCAATTCTATGTCTAAAGACTAGTGCAACTTGCGTACCTCATCATGGTATACCTCCGGTGCTTCGGAGTCAGCATCGCAGAAAGGAGTGAAAGTAGCTGTCTTGGTACATGGCATGACCATTGGTTTGGTTTCCTTCTTCATCGTTTCCTGTGCATCAGCCTCCGAATCGCAGAAGGGACTGAAGCTACGTGTTTTGGCCGCTGATTGCGAGGCTGCTACTTTGCCTTTGTTCTTCGATGTTGTTTCCGGTTCTGCGGCATCGTCCTCACAGAAAGAAGTGAAGCTGCTAGACTTTCCAAGGGCCCTTGAACAGGCTGCTTCGCCTTTCTTCTTCTTCTTTGCCGTTCCAGAGCCTTCAGCTTCGTCGTCGACAAAGGGCGTAAAGTTGCTGTACTTCGCGGGAACTCTTGAACTGGTTACTTCGTCTTTCTTCTTCCTTGCTTCAGCAGCGTCGTCGACAAATGGCGTAAAGCTGCACGCTTTCATCCCGGACTGTGACGTCATGGCTTTGCCCTTCTGCCTTTCCGGCACCGGAGGTGGTTGCATTTCATCTGGAGTACTCTCCTGTACCGGTTCTGGCTCAGGGTCGACGAAGACAGCGATCCTGGACGCGCCAGACCGCCCAGACGCCGCTGCGGCAAGTCTCTGACTCCTACCCGCTTGTCGTAGCGTAGTCCCAGAGGCCTTCTTAACCTCCGGTACATTCTCCTTTACACGGGACGTACGTGTCCCGACGTTGGGAAAGGCGTTAGTGGCCATGAGCTCAGGTTCGGCATCGGCGGGATCCTCGAATATCTGCAGCCGAGCATTGGGCCTCGGCCGTGAAGTAGCAGCATTCGATGAAAAGACGTCTTCGTGCGGTTTCTCGGTTGTGACGGCGCGAGTGGCTAAAGCTTGCCTGGGTGGCTTCTTTGTGGAGGATGCAGCTGAGACCTCAGACGCAAGTTCATCTGGTTGTGGTATTGGTGCTGCAACCATCATGCGCTTCTGAAAGTCCTCGTGCTTCTTTCTCAGCCTGTCAAGCGGCTCCGCTCGACGTGCTATACCAAGTAGATAGACTTTATCGGCCTCCGCCCGACTGCGCGATATTATTACACGTAACGAGAGGCATGTAAAGTGGCACTCACCGACCACTTCGCTCCAAAGAAAGAGCAAACTCCTCGTATAGTAGCTCATGCTCCGTTCCAATATCATTGGCGATGCAGAATCTGTAGATGATGGCCGGCCTCTCCACGTAGCTTGCGTAGAGAATCCACAGCTTCAAGTATCGTATGTCCTGCCTCCACTTTCCTCCTCTGTCATCTTTCAGCACCCTCGTCGCCTCCTCGAGCAACTCCAGCAAACCAGACTCGGTATTGTGGCCTTGTGGATAGTTTTCCACTGTCCAGCGTACGAAGCAGTAGTAGACCTCCAGCGGATCGTCGTCTTCGTCTTCCAAAGCCACTTGAACGTTGATGCGATAGCGGTTCTTCATCGCGGAAAGGTGCGCTTCGCGCTGGGCATGTGGCGTAGAGAGGATCTGGGACAAAGCAGTCACTCTTCGGCCAGAGGCGATGGGCCGAATGTTTTCTTTGGCTTTCTCAATGACATCAAAGTCAACGATCTCGGGCACTTCGTCATCATTGCTTTCGTGGTCGTCGATGTCGACGTCGGCAGCGGCGGTGGCCATGGTCGTCGGAGTCAGGGCCGCGAACAACCGCGATCGCGTTGAAAGAAGCGGAGTCACGTGAGCGCGTGGCGTCAGGCTGCGCGTGCAGTGCTGTGGGGGGTCTTGTGGCGTCAAGTCCGAGCCTTCGCTTACGAACTCTGCGCTCGGCAGTGTCAGCACTCACCCCCTCTCTTGTTCTTCAGATGTCGCGGTAAGCTGTTCAAAGTATGGAACGGCAAGCCTCAGGGTTTCTGGAGTATCTGACGGCGCACCAGTTACAGGAACTCACTGGACGCCTGATCAGTAGGGCTTCTGGCAAGTCGTAAAGCGCAGACTTCGTACGTATTTCTGGACCTCACACGACGAGATTCAGCTGATATCTGAATAGTACGTAGCTTAAATGCTAACTGCATGTGCATGGTAAATCCCAAGGACTTTGCAGATCATCCATCCGATGGTCCTGGCCCTGCCCAATCTAAATTCACGGATATTTTGGCGGTACATTCGTCTCTATATAGAGCAATCGCATAAGGTCTCAGGTTCAATCACGTCAACGTGCTGAAGCCGTTATATTCTAACTTCTACGATGCCAGTAACGCGAGTTCCGGCACTCCCTGCAGCTGCTCAGACAAGGAACTTAACAAACGTGAGTATTAACCCTCTGTTCCGACGCGTTCCTTGCAATGTCTTCACCTCGCCTGCTGAATTGGTTACTTCCGACGCGTGTATATCGCGCCCATCACAAGACAGTCTCAGACAGAAACTTGTGAGAATATCCTTTGCATTGGAGAAGCTTCCCTTGCTTCCGCTTCCAGTGTACCCTATCTTGTAGGATCGCGCTGCTGTCTTGCGGATGTCCACAAATGCCTGATACCATCACCAATCGATAGAAATTTTGTAAAATAGACCGTGTCTCCTCGCTGCCTCCTGGCTACCGTGCTGCGTCTGTGATTAAATTAGCAGGCGTATTACATAAGCGGGGTATTAGCCTGAGCAGCGCTTTTTTCCCCTGGACCGTCTCGCCTGGCGTCCACCACGACCCAGCTGCATATTCCAAGGTTTAGGACCTTCTGAGTCGTCGCAGTCGACCGCGCAGGACTTGCACTCACTCGGATCGTCGTATTTCCCGCAGTTTTTCACGATGGCCACGGATTACTCGCCTGAGTCTTCAAGCCCTCAGCCTCACCCCTACCTTCATGAACCGATCCTGTATATTGCTACTTTGCCGTCATGGCTCGACAACGAGCTTGTAGCTCAAGCGCTTACTGGCTGTGCGCCTTTCCGGCTCAATATGAATCGCGATGAGGAGAACAAGACGATGTCCGGGACCATTGAGTTCAAGTTCCTCGATAAAGGTGCATTACATCGCTCTTGTCAACCTGTCACATTGTAATATAACGACCATACAGCTGAGAAGGCTCTGGCTGTTGCGCACTCACGTCCAATCCCCGAAACAGAGCCGCCAGTGATCCTGACCCTCTCGCCGTACCCTCTCACGAATCCGCCTACACCGCTTCCACCCCCAAATGCAGGACCTCGATTGGTCAAAGAGCTTCCTCCGGATTACGACTTCTTGAAACTTTACGATTTGTTCAGGCCATTCGGGGCCATTGCCTCAGTCCGGTACCCAACGAGCTTCGGTGTTAATACCGGAGTAGTCCAGTTCTGGCGAGAGGAGGATGCGCGACAAGCACAAGAAGCGATGCATTGCGCGGATGTCGATGGGTATAATATTGTGGTACAAATGTACCAACCGAGGCGGGCGGGGTCGAACGTCTCGGAGTTCAGTCCCAGTGCCCCAGCTTTCGTTCCCTCAGGCTCTGTATTCCCATACCCAGCACAGGTGAGTATTCGTGTTCCTGCGCTTGGATTATCGTGGCGCGATCCCGAGTCTCTGTGGCGTGTGGCGGTTTCGGGTCGACTATAAATGTTCCAACTCTCTGCATCCCCATCTTAATCCGCACATTAAATCATGATACCGCAGTACTCTCCTCACTCGCCACATTCGCCACCACGAGCCCTCTCGTATTCACCTCGGCAAGCTCCTGCACCGTTCGTCCATGGTCCTGGTCAACAGGTGCAAGTACACCATGGGAGCCATAGCGGGTTAATCGACCCATGCAATCTCTTCATCAAAGTGAGGATGTGTCCTGTACGGTCGATAGCGTCCGGGTTCTGACCGCGTACCAGAATCTTGACGCAGAGATTGATTCTAATGCCCTATTCGCACACTTCCGCCAGGTATGGTTTTTGCTGGTCGATGTCAAATCATGCTGAATGATTCGTTGTCTGTTCAGTTCGGCCAAATAGTCAGGTAGGTTGCATCTCTCTTGAATCCGGACTTGACTTATTTGCTAGCAGTGCGCGTGTGATGCGAAATGAGAATGGCGAGAGTCGTGGGTTCGGATTTGTCTCATATCAGACACCCGACCAAGGTATACAATCCCACTTTCGTCCCCTTCCTTGGACTGACAATTCCCGTAGCCTCTAATGCTATGCAGGCCATGAACGGTGTTGTCCTTGGCTCTAAGCCAATTGTTGTTCGGCTCCATGAGCCAAAGCAATTGCGACAGGAGAAGCTTGCCGCTAGATTTGCTGGTCAGAACGGTCACCCGAGGAGCGCCAGTGGGGCGACCAGCCCTACTCTCAGCGAAGGCGGCGAGAGCTATGCAGGGTGGGGAAGCCCGCGCAAACCACCAAGCATGCTTGGATCGCCGCCTCACAATAACCACGGTGACCATCCTAACAGGCTTAGACGAGGTAGCGGTAGTTACTATAATGTATGTTTACCGACCCATCTCCTGTGTTTTTACTAACCCGTGTTTGCTCGTGTAGGCTGCGCTTGCGGGGACCTTGAATGTGCCGATGCGCTACGACGATTTGGCTGCCCTTTCACCGGTCGTCCGGAGGGAAGTATTGATGGGAGAGCTCAATCGTCGCGTCAAGTCCTTGAATACTGTGCCTCCAAATGAGATCGACTCGATCGTAGAAAAGCTGGTCGCGTTATCATTGAGCGACGTCGTCACGGTCATCCATGATCAGAACAAATTGGCGGAGCAGATTCATTCAGTTCAGAATTCGCTCCATGCCAAACCCACGGCATCGCGAGAGAAATCTCCTTCACCGTCGGTATCACAAGATTCACGGCTATTGGATGCCAGTACCTTGATTGCGACCGCATCCGCACCCGAGCACCCCTCAACGCCCGTGTCTGTGTCTCCCGCTATCTCGACACCCCCCCGCACTTCGTCACCCTCAGGCTCCGTCGCGCAAGGGAGCGAGCGGGATCGCATGTATGCCGCGGTGTGCAAGCTGGAATCCTCCAAGCAAGCAGAGCTCACGGAGCTGATGATGAGTTTACCAAAACGCGACCGCGCGATGTGTCTGTTCAATATCGACGTGCTACGATCAAAGCTGCAGGACGCCAAGATGGTGTTGGAGAGTGACGAAGGCGAAGATGCACCCCCTGTACCTGTGACGCCGCAAGCGAGGAAGATTTCGTCCCGCTCGTTAGAGGAGAGCCCGCGGACGCCGGACCTGTCGTCTAGAGGACCATCTGTGGCTGGATCACCGACGCCCGCTACTCCTGATGCTTCGTCTGCTGGTTATACTATCGCTTCATTGGCCCGCCTCTCTGCGGTGGAAATTGTCAGGATCGCGAGCTCGCCGTCCGCTACGGGCTTGCCCCTGCCCAAGGCCGATCCTTTGGTCGTCAAGGCCACGGATGAGTTCATAGATGGACTGCTTGACAAACCTATTCAGCAGCAGAAGCAGGCTTTAGGCGATAAGTTGTACGTCGGCTGTATCTGCTGCTCTATTTCGTCTCTAATTCAACCTTCCAGGTGGCGGGTGATCAAAGCGTTCGGTATCAAGGGAGCTGTATGTACACTCCCCTGTTTTGACTTGTTGACTCTGCCTGACGCTCAACATAGCCCAAACTCACGATTACGCTTTTGGACCAAGAGGAGCTCCGACCTCTTGCTCATCTCATGAACAGTTATCCTAGCGTCCTCAAGGAGAAGGCATTGCTCACGCAGGCGGCCACCCTTGGCAGTAAATAAGCCGATATCCGTTGTCTCAAATGTTTTCACGATTGCTCCAGTTTTCCGCTCCTCCTTGCTCGTAATCACTCGTTATTTTTTTGATCGCCCCAACTTCTGCCATTCCCATTTGCATGTTTCTAGGGAATCCCGTCCGTCAGGATCTTCAGGATTTTTATCCCATCTATCCCGTCGATAATTTTCCTCGCTTCAAACTGCTGTGCACCTCCTTGTCTCGTGTCCGATTGACTAGTAATAGTACCACACTTGCATTCTTTTGTTATATCCCCTTTGACTCGGCTTTTACCCCATCCTCGTTCAGTGCTCGCCTACTTACACTGCGTATCATACATCTACATCCTTGCTCTCTTACTTCCAACATCTTTTGACTTGTGTTTTTACGACCCTATCACGATGTTATTGTCTCTTTCGCGTTGGTTCTGTCCTTGTCAAGCAAAGCGACCGGTTGTCGATCATGTTCTTTTGTTGAGCACGCAAAGCACATTGTTATTGCTAGAGCAGCCTGCAATCCGAATGCATTGCTATGCCGCTTGGTGATTTTGTGGGTGATCTTGAGCTGTTTCGGTACCCCTCTCGACGCCCGGGCACCTGGCTCTGACATATGTATACCGACATTAATCTACCAGCATGACTAAGTATAGTTATTTGCAGGTGTACTGCAGCGTACTCCCAATTAGGAGCCTGGCGCTCGGTGAATACGTATGCTCAACGAGCGGAGAAAAGAAGCAGGTAGAAACACCGAAGACACGTCAGTAGTATCCATCGCCGTCCAAGAGGTGCACTCCTCTGGCTTCGCATATCTCTTCCAACGCTTGCCATTCATCTTCGTCTAAATCTTCATCGTACACTCTGTAAGCCGCCAGGAACTGTAGCTTGGGCAGATAATCCAAATTTCCTAAGGCATCTACGAGGGAGCGGAGATCCTCTGTGAGCAATCGCAATCGCAAGTCTTCGAGAGAGGAGGGGAGACAGTTGACTACCATCGACGTTAGAGCCCAGGGACCCAGTTCCAGGACGAAGAGGTTCCGCATTTTCGATAGCGCCTGGGCGAGATCCTTCTTAAAGCATATACGCTCGTCCTGGGCATCAGGTGCATAGTCAATGATGGTTCGTGCAACATAGTATACGGAGAGCTCCTGTAAGGAGTCGCGCCAGCGCTCCAAGGCTCCGCACATAGATGCTTGAAAACGTGGGTCTTCAGGATGTGTGGTTCGTCCAAACTCCAGCACCTCGACGCAATGTATCATTGTGCTGATGACGTCCAAATCACCTCCGCTCAAGGTGATGTTGGGCAGCTTCAAGACTCGCATGGACTTCAATGGTTTGTACAGCGGAATGGCCCATAACCGGTGGCGCGCCTCGCGGGTCTCGCGGTGGTTCGGGCTATAGCTATCGAACACCGCCGGATACCTTGGGGAATCGTCGCAGACTTCGACATACTCTAGGGAAGGACATTCTTGCAGCACCCTGAAGAAGTCGTTGACCGTGCAAAATTTGTCTCCGTCGAAATAAAAGTGCGGTACCCCGGTGACTCTGGAAACCACAAGCCGCCGCAAATTCTGGCATTTGCGGAGAACTATGAAGTACTCCTCGAAGAGCGCGTTGTCGATCTCGCTGAACTGGAGGTCCTCGATGTTGCGGCAAAGCCACAGCAGCTGGGCGAGGTTCCAGGATTCGCTCTCCTCACCAGAACAGGCGAAAAGCGTCAGACGCCGTACGCGAGCTGCTACTTCGGGCCATAATCGAAGAGTCTCAACAATGTTCTCCGCTCAAGCCGGGCGTCTGTCGTTGACTTCAATTGCCTCGTAGAGGACGCAAGTGGCCACTCGGTTCCAGTGCTTGTTGACAAGTGCAGCTCGCGCTACAGAACGGAGGTCCTTGTCATGGCCATTTAGAGTCTTGAAAGGGCGATCCAATCGATGCTGTCAAGCTGTTCAAGAACGGGGCATTTGCTGCACGTAGCCTGTACACCATAGTCGATGAATCATTCAATGAAGTCTGAGGCTTCGCGCAAGTCGGTCACGTAGGAGTCACGTAGAAGTCACGACATAACGCACGTGAGAGTCACGCACGAGTCACGCACCTCGTGGGATCATTTAGATCCTCCTTTCCTCGATCAAGCTTCTGCTATACACCGCGGAAGTAGTCTCCGCTCGACGCTGGACACGGTCTGCACATCTTAAACTATGATTATGGAACGAGTCTCTTCTAAGCGCAAGATGGTGCCTTCGAAATTCGCCAGGAAGAAGCCCAAAATTACACACTCAAATATCGAGGAGTTACCTTGGAAAACAGTTTCTCGGTCCAAGGAAGCCTGGTCAGGCGCAGAAGATGGAATATTAGAGCTGGAAGAGGTAGAGGGAGTTGACATTGTCTATGAGGAAACCGAAACAGGAAGAGTTGCAAAATTCAGCGTAAGTAAGGTCAGGTCATGGAGGGATCATACTTGACTCTGTTTAGGTCGTGCGAGATGGGGACAATGCCGCAGATAAACGAGGTGAAAAGGAAGACCACCTTGCACCGACTGGTGAAGAAGAGATTGTAACGCGAACATCAGGCGACCGACAAGGCGCGCATCCTGACGAGGAGCTGGAAGCAGGGCCCATAGAGCCTCCATCATTTGACGGTGGGTACTGCAGAATATAATAGGTATATCATTATAACAGGTCCTTCAGTCGAAACCCTCCTTCCTGGGTGGAAGGAATTCCCTTTGCATGCACAGCTCATGCGTACTATTCATGCCCAAAACTTCACCTCGCCTACTCCCATCCAGTCTCGCGCCATCCCCCTTGCGTTATCGGGTAAAGATGTGATAGGTGTTGCAGAAACCGTAACTACCTTTTGCCTCCCACGCCTCTGTTCTACTAAGGAACCGCATACAGGGTTCAGGCAAAACCTTAGCCTACGGTCTTCCCATCCTCCACTACCTGCTGTGCGAAGCTCTTAGTCGACCTCCTTCCAAGAAGACAAGACGTCAAGCCAAGGCTCTGGTCCTTTGCCCTACTCGTGAACTTGCGCTTCAAGTGTCCTCGCATCTCAATGCGTGTCTGAACGACCTCGCCTCGCAGAAGGCACCGGCCAGTACACCTGCATTTGTCAGCGACAAAGGCAAAGGTAGAAGAGAACGCAATTCAGAGGTGCAAGATCCAGGCCCGAGCCAGCACAAGCCGGGGGGATCGTCGGACACCCAGCCGAAAGCCAAGGCTCCGCCACTCGTCAGTGTGGCTGCGATTGTAGGCGGGATGTCCGCGCAGAAGCAGCGTCGTATACTCGACAGAGGTGTGGACGTCTTGGTAGCTACCCCTGGTCGACTATGGGATATCCTCGAAGAGGTTAGTCATTCAAAGGTAGAGTCGCTCTCCAAACTAGCTAATTTAGTGGGTTTCGATAGGATGATGCTCTGGCGAGAGATATCAAGAGCCTAAGGTTCCTAGTTCTGGACGAAGCTGACCGGATGGTTCAAGCGGGCCATTTCGCGGAGTTGGATCACATCCTACGACTCACCCTACGGAGTTCTCAGTGAGGCCTTCTCTCCACGGATCTTTCCATCTTCGTCTAACACAGACTATCCTAAAGGTTAGATAACACAGATCCCGAGTTCAAGGGTATGGACGAAGAAAGCGAGGCGCAGCAGGGTGGTCATATAGAGAAAACCCCGATGCAGACCTTCGTATTCTCCGCGACCATGAGCAAGGATCTCCAGCGTAACTTGAAGATGCGCAAGCGGCCGAAGGCCGGGAAGACTAAGCCTGCGTCGACACTAGGTAATCCGACGGATTTGCTCGTCCTCGAGTCGCGAGCCTTGCGCTGACTGCGCGCAACAGATGACTTACTCATGAGACTCGACTTCCGCGATCCGGAGCCAGAGGTAATTGATCTCAGCCCAGAGGGGGGCGTGGTGTCTACCCTGAAGGAGGGCAAGATCGAGTGCTTGTCAGCCGACAAGGTACGTTAGAGTGATTGTACGAATCTCGAGTGCATTGGCTTACTCCCAATCAGGATGTGTACCTGTACTATTTCCTCTTGCGGTACCCCGGCCGATCATTGGTCTTCCTCTCTTCTATTGATGGTATTCGACGGCTCATGCCATTGATGGAGCTCCTGAACGTGAAGGCGTTCCCGCTGCATTCGCAGCTCGAGCAGAGGCAGCGCTTGAAAAACCTAGACCGGTACGTTGCCTGCCCGCTCCTTCGCAAGTCTCTAAGTACGCATTCTATTAGTTTCAAGTCTACGCAAAACTCAGTGCTGCTCGCGACGGACATCGCAGCGCGTGGTTTGGATATACCCGCCGTGGACCACGTGATCCACTACCAGATCCCCCGCTCGGCGGACGTGTACGTGCACCGGAACGGGAGGACGGCGAGAGCGATGCGGAAAGGGTTCAGCATGCTCATGTGTGGGCCCGACGAGAGGAGGGTCGTCAGAGCTCTCCTGGGGAGCCTTAAGCGAGGTAACATCCGATCACTATGCTGCGAAGTCTTTGCGCTGATCAATGTATCAGAAGAGAGCGAGATCCCAGAAATGGCGATCGACTTGCACATGCTGGACAAGCTGAAAGCCCGAGTGCAGCTCGCGAAGCAGATCGATGCGGCGCAGCACCGCGTGAAGAAGGATAATTATGAGCGGAATTGGCTCAAGGAAGCCGCGGAGGCTATGGAGATCGAATTGGACTCCGACTTTGCGCCCAGGTCGGTATCCGATGCTGAATATTCCTTTGGCGATACCGGTTGCTTATGTGGTATGCAGTGGTGATGACGATGAAGACGCAGGGAAGAGCAAGAAGCGCAAGGACAGTGCGAAGGTTGGCGTGCTTAAGGCGGAGCTGAAGCACCTCCTTGCACAACCTTTGCTCGCGAAGGGGATATCTGCTCGATATATCACGTCGGGGAGCAGGCCGATCGTCGACGACATGCTAGCTAGTAATCGTGCGTATTCCAGTCCGTTTCTATCTTTCACAGAACTGGATGTTGATACGATTCATTTCACTGCAGATCATGAGACGATGCTGGGGGTCATGAAGGGGGATGCTGCTGACGAGCTGATGGCTCCAAAGAAAAAGAAGGTGAAGAAGGCTGTTCAGCATGAGGAGTGGAATGGAATAGAAGAGTAACGGGCTGCATCTCATCCCTAATGATTTATTTCGTCTATATACATCTTGATATCATTTGTATACTGGGAGACTCGGAGTAGACAAGGCTCAAAGGGGCCACAGGGAACGAATGACCCGGGGAAGCATTCTCAAGATCCTAGACACCGCTCGGCATTCCCCGGCTCCCCACCCAGACACCACCTCCCTCGCGCTGATCCCGCCAGAGCCAGGATGCGAGCGAGGTACACCCCGGAGCAGCTCGCGTTCCTCCGCAAGCACCTCCCGGAATACGAGAAGCGCAACACCTCGTTCAAGCGCGGTGAGGCGAAGAAGTATGCGCACGAGACTGCGATAGAGTACATTGCCGAGTTTGGGCTTCCCAATGAGCTGCTGGGGAGCGAGGAGGCGGAGAGTCGACTGAAGGAGGTACGTGGATCTGAACCTCTGTATCTGGGAGAGGCTGATGGTTGGGTGCGCATAGCAAGTGTACAACTGGTACAAGAATACGACGAAGAGGACGAGGAGGAAGGCGCACGATGAGTGTGGGTGTCGTCGACTTTCTCTGCGTCTGGATTGTATTACTTACCGGCATTCGAATCACGACAGTCCTTTCTTCTTTCCGATTCACGCCCCAAGCGCAGTTCGGCGTCGATGTTGGCAGTGTCTCAGCATCTGTCGCGGGTCCGTCGGGGGAGGCCACGTCTATGGATACGTCTCCTGACTCAGCGCCGACAAGCCCGGCAACCGCTGGTGCTGCTGTCACTCCTACCGGAGACCCTGGGGGGTCAGAAGCCCCAAGCCCTACAGCCCCTAACCCCGTCCTGAAAAACCTATCTGAAGTCTTCAACTCACCCGAGACCGATGACAGCGCTGCACTCTGCGCGCAAATCCGCGCACACGCCCGCGCCCGCGGGGGCCCGACGCCCCTGAGCGGTGTCATCGACGCCCTGTTCGAGGAGATACACACGCAGACACGCGCGCGGACAGCGCCGGACTACATTACGCTCGACCCGGGCAGCGAGCCGTGCTACGTTTTGCTGAGGCGGTTCCGCGTTGCGTGCGCGCGCTTCCCGGTGAACGTGATGCACGCGGGGATCGCGGGCGCGGCGGCGGGAACGAAGGCACTGGAGATGAAGCTGCGCAAAGCAGCGGTGTGGATGCCGACTGTGTCCGTCGTTGCTACTGCAGCTCCTAATGGTGTGAAGAAGGAAGCCTCGGGAACGATGGCGGACGAGTTGGCGAGGATTAATACGGATAGAAAGAGAAGGGGCGCCTTTATGATGGACGCGTTTGCGCACGCAGCGGCGGTCGAGTTGGGGATGCTGACGCGCGAGGGCCGGTGGTATGCGGAGAGCGTCGCGCGGGAGGCGATGTGGGAGGGGGACGAGTCGGAATGGCTCGCGGGGGCGATCGTGCTCAGGGGGTTCATACGGTGCAGGCCGTTGGAGAATCCGAAGCGGGCGGAGTATGAGCGATGGTTGAGGGCGTACGAGGCACGCTGGAGGGAGTTTAGGGACGAGCATCGGCAGGCGATGATGGCCGTAGGTGACTTTTGGTTAGCTTATGCGCTAGATGCTGACCATCTGTCGGTTACAGGAAGTAATTATGGGTGCAAAGCAAGACATTTTGGCACTCTGAAGGGCTTTTGTCCTGTGTCCTCCTGGTTTCTTGGATAGCTTTGATGGATTTCCACCAACACATGTATTATATACTCTCCCGTTTGTTGCGCCATCGTTGCAAGCGGACAGATACTTGTCTGTCCCTTCGAAAATTTGTTGCTCTCCAGCCTTCGGTTGATATAAGCTCAGCAGTGTGAGGATAATAAAATGACTGGGGGATTGTGGCAAGAGGCTTGAGGCATTTGTATTCGGACACTGATGCCTAGTAGGATCTGAGATCCGGGTTCGATCATCTACCGTACAATCCTTACGTAAGCGATTATCGCTTGGGATTTCCCCTTGCTCAGAGTCACGGCCGAGTTCCCGTATCCCTGCTCTCTTGCCCTTGCCTTGCCTTACTGCATTTCTCCTCCTTGTATCCCTTTTTTTTGTGGCTGACTTGTATTTGCGGGGCTGGAGCGGGTGTATGTGTCCGTGTCACTAGGGTTAAAGCCATGGTATGTATCCTAACAGGCATCCCGGATAAGCACTTACTGAAACCACGATTCAAGCCTGTCTGTACTGACTGCGGGGGGTCTGTGATTGAGTATGACGCCGCTGCTGGAAATGGGTTCTGTGTAAACTGCGGGACGGTCATTGAGGAGAATACGATCGTCTCCGAGGTTACCTTCGGCGAGACGTCTAATGGGGCCGCTATGGTGCAGGGATCGTACGTCGGGCTCGGACAGAGTGAATTGTGACCTCACTACAAGCTGCTTTATTTATTCTGACCCGTGCTATGATTTAGCACGAGCTCGTATGGGGGGACCGCTAGGGAACAGGGGAAGTACTGAATCAAGAGAGCAGACGATTGCAAACGGTACGCCTGCTGGGGCACATTTTCAGAGGTTCCGATCTTAAAAACTCTGTCTGCAGCCAGCAAGAAGATCCAAAGCATCGCCAATGTGCTGCGCTTATCTGAAGTTGTCTGCCTAGCCGCGACGCGGCTCTACACCTTGGCAGTCGAGCACAAATTCACCAAGGGCCGGAAAAGCTTGAACGTCGTAGCAGTATGCTTATACGTCGCCTGCCGGCAAAAAGAGACTCGGAACTACATGCTCATAGACTTCTCCGATCTCCTCCAAGTAAGTCCTACTCTTCATCCGCACGCGCATATATTCACTCCGCCTGCCAGGTCAACGTCTTCGAGCTCGGACACACCTACCTCCAGCTCGTACAGACGCTCAACCTTCGGCTCCCGCTTGTCGACCCGTCGCACTACATCTCGCGCTTCGCCGCACTGCTCGAGTTCGGCGAGGAGACGCACCGCGTCGCGCTCGACGCGGTGCGCCTCGTGCAGCGCTTCGACCGCGACTGGATGGCGCGCGGGCGGCGCCCGGCAGGCATCTGCGGCGCGGCGCTGCTGCTCGCCGCGCGCATGAACAACTTCCGCCGGAGCGTCGCGGAGATTGTGCAGGTCGTGAAGATCGGGGATATGACGTTGAGGAAGCGGCTGGAGGAGTTCAAGCGTACGGGCAGCGCGGCGCTGACGGTGAGTGACTTTAGGAAGGTGTGGCTGGAGGACGAGATGGACCCGCCGGCATTCACGAAAGGACGTGAAAAAGAGGAGAAGGAAAAAGAAGAGAGGGAGAGCGGTGGGAAGCAGAAGGAGAAAGAGAAGAGAAAGAAGAAGGGCAGGAAGAAGAAGAGGAAGAGAGGGGAGATAACGGATGAGGAGGTCGAAGCGGAGGCGGAGACGGAGCAGATGAACGTCGACGCCAATGACGAACACATACACTCGCCACCGATAGACCCAACACTTTTGAATCAGGGCATCCTCGCCGGGACTGTGACAGAGCCACCACTAGGAACGACAGGCCGCGCCCCGCTCTTTCTCCCCGAAGACCTCCCCGACGACCCTCTCCCCGACCCGAACATCGACCCCGCCCTCCTATCGCCTCCACAATCCACTCTCAATCCCAACCCGAGTACCTTGACCCCACCGCCGCCGCCTGACCCGGTCGAGCAGCAAGCGGACGAGGTCCTCGCGCAGGAGGTCGCGAGCTTTCTGCTGAATGCGCAAGGGAGCCAGCTGAGCGAGGTCCTCGAGGACCGCGAGCGGCAGCGGCTTGCGCAGATCGACGCCGGGGACGAGCTGGCGGGCCTGGACGAGGCGGAGCTGGACGCATTCTTACTTACCGAGGAAGAGGTCAAGATTAAGGAGCGCGTATGGGTAGAGCTGAATAGGGATTACCTGGAGGCCATCGCAGGTATGTATTGAACATGGCTCATTTCGAGGATTCGCTTCGTTGACTAGTGGCTACAGCCAGGGGCGATCAGCAGGAGACCGGGCAGGCGCAGGCAAAGGCCAAGAGCAAGAAGGTTCGTATCCCGCTGGAAGCGAAATTACGCTTGCTCCAGAAATCGATTTTCTCTGTTCATGTATGCGTCCTTTGCTCATCTGACACGCATTTTCTAGCGCCGTAAGACGGATAATAAACCTAGGGATGCATCTACGCCCAGCGGCAGCACCCCCGCCGAGTCCGTCCGCAACCTCATCAAAAAGAGCTCCAAGTACAGCAAACGGATTAACTACGATGCGCTCAAGGATCTGTTGGACACCAATGCCGTTACCAATGCCCGGTCTTTGGATGAGAAAGAGGACGACATGTATACCATGGACGACAAGAGTGACGGCGAGGGGATGATGGTCGTCGAAGAAGAGGGCGGGGGCGGCGTGGGGTCGCTCAGTAGGGAGCCCTCTGAGAAACGCGCTCCAGTCCTAGCTCCAGAGGCAATGGACGAAGAGGGCGGAGACGAGGATGCTGAAGGCGAGGACGACGATGGCAGCGAGAAGGGAGTCGAATACGGCGGCTGGGAAGACGCGTACGAGCAAGAAATCTGAAAGGACAGACACCGGCAAGTCTATCATTATTGCACATTAACCTATTTCCTGTAGCAAATAGCAACCATCCATGCATGTATTGTGCGGGGCGAGGGAGATTGCATTCAGGCCTGAATGGAAGAATAAGTGATAAATGAGATTCAAAAGCGTGCGATCGAGCAAAATGCACAACACAAAAAGAGCATCGACAGCTATGTCCGACAGCCAGACAACAAGACAGAACGCAAAGAGTTTTATTGCCCCACCAGATCCATTCGTCACCAGAGATCCCATACAAAAAGCATCGAAACGTCCAGGTGCGACGGGCGGCGGAAGGCCGACACCACGCTCACTTCCCTTGCGGGGGAGCACCACGTCCACGGCCACCACCTGGGCCTCCGCGTCCACGGTACCCGCCGCGCAGCTCGCGTCCAGGACCGTTCATCGGCCTATTGCTAGGCGGCCTCTCACCCCTCTCCTTCTTCGTCTCCACCACAATCCTCGCCGGCTGTCCGCCCTCACCATCAATCCGGATCCCACCCTCACCTCCGAGGGGCACAGGTAATGACGCGATGATGGCGCGCTTGGCCGCGTCGATATTTGTGAACTCGAGGAACGCACAAGCCTTGCTCCGCACGATCTCGACGTCCTTGACGGGGCCGAATCGTTGCGTCAAGACGTTGGTCAAGGTCGTTTGCGAGACGTTCTCGGTTACGCCCTAGCATCGCAGTGTCAGTTAACGCACGAGGAAGTTGCAAATTATTAGAGCGGTACCTTAACGAAACATTGCGCATGAGTGATATTCTGCGCGGCAGCAATGGCGCTCTGGGGATCCCTCTGTTGATGTTGACCAGGTGGACCCCTAGGCTGCTGTCCAGCAACGGGTGTCTGGCTCGTGCTCCTGGGCGTCACAGGCGAAGCCGGCACCTCAGACGTCCCTGTGCGGTCAGTAGCAACAGCAGCGCCCCACTTCTTTGCGTTGTTCGCCGCCAGGTTCGCCCACGTCTTCGGTTGCGGGGGCTGCGCGGGCTGCGGAGCGGGCGTGGGTTGTGCGGGCTGAGCAGCAGGCGCAGGTGCGGGAGGCAGCGAGGCGGGGGCGACAGGTGGCGGGGACACGGTCGTGGGCTCGGGTGCCGGTGCTGGCTCGGGCTCCACCGGCGCCGGGGCTTCGACAGGCTCGGGCTTAACTTCGGGCTCAGGCGCAGCGGTGCCGTTGCCGTTGACGTGCGGTTCGGGCTCAGAGGGGGCGGGGGTGGCGGGTGCGGGCTCAGGGATGACAGTCTTCGGCGCCTCCTCGGGAACAGGCGTCGCGGCGACGGGCGCCGGCGCAGGAGACGGCTCGCGTTCCACTGGGGGTGGGGACGGATGTTCCGGCTGGGCGGGGGGAGCGGGCTCCGGAATATTTTGCGTCTGGGCGGTCTGGACGGCAGGCGCAGAGGCGGCGGGGTGCGTGGACTCGCCGGCGTCGGAGGCAGCGTCGGACTCGACGGTCTCTTCCTTGAGGAAGCGGAAGATGTCGTTGAGGACAAAGTAGCCGTTGGGCTGCTCGGCGAGGAAGAAGGTCTGCACGAACTTACGCCAGTCTTCGCCGCGGTTGGACATTTCGCCGATGACCTGAATGATGATACCCCCGCTGGCGGACGACTGAGCATCAACCGAATGGATGAAGACCTTGCAATCCTGGAAACCTATTGACGTGATTTTGTTGTGAATTTCCTAAGGAAGGGTCAGTGAAACAGCCACAGAATAAGAAGCGTGACGTGTGAGTGATTTGAGGTGACATTGGCAGATTGCGGTCTATCCAAGTCATTGAAGGATTTACAGACAAGCCCACTTGTAGCTCTCGCGCATCCCGCCGGTCTTGCCAGAATACAAGACAACGAGTTTAGTAACGCGAGTCTACAAGTGGCGTACGTGTCCTTCATGCCTGCAGACCCTCATGACTCGGACGAGATCCAGGACGCGACATTCACATAGGCAAAAGAATTTCGAAGTGACCTACCTGTTGACCGTAACATGGTTTGCCATCTTCTCCCTCGACACCATGGATGAAGGTCGACGCTTTTGTGTAAAACCGATGCAGTCGATTGGGCTGCTGGTTCACATAGGTATAGTATTGGGGCACAAACTGCCATCCGACTTCGGAAGGGACAACGTTCTGGTGCAGGCTAGGAGCAGGATTAGTGCCGGTGGTGCTGGTCATGACGGGTAACGTTCTGCGACGCGTCAGGCTATGACAAAGACTCGAAAGACTTCGGAGAATACATACCAGACGACGCGGTATAAAAAAGTAAAAGAGCCTATAAAATCTAGGATACACAGAAAAGCCAGAAGAGGCTGAGACGGTCGAGTGCGTCGGTGTGTGCGATGACGGTGCAAAGTTCCAAGCTTTTCCACAAAACTTGGACGACGCGTCTCGCCGGGATTTGCCGTGAGAGCGCTTACATAACAAACTTAGTTAATAATGAATTCATCTCGGACTTGCTGATCCTACATTTCTCGTCGTATCGTGCACTTATTTTCGAATGCAGTCCTCTGCAGTTGGATCTGTACTGCTGAGTACTCATACATACTACGAGCTGCATTTTGTATATTCTTTTGGGAGCTACAAATATGGTCCAAGACTGAATTTCTTCTGCGAACCGTGAGTACATTGACATCACAACACAGCAATACTAGCGCCGGCTAAATCCGCTATTATCGGTCCAAAGCTATTCGGACAGCTTTCCAGCGTTTGTGGCTCCGTTATAACTCGTCTTTCTACCATCTGCCCCCCTCTTTACGACCATGAACGAGAACACAAAGTTTCTGTTTTTGCTATGCTTATTATTTATCTGCCTGTCTTTCAACGGTGTGTACGCGTTTGGAGCGGGTAACATCCCTTCGTGAGTGTGGCGTCCCCTAACACCTTCCGATATGAACTTGACCGCTGATCGAGCGGTCAACTCAATATAATATTGTCTCAGTTTCGCATATTTGGAGGGGAAGGCGTTCCGGCATGGTGACATCGTACGTGCTCCCTGACAGGATCTGTCGCGGTTCCCATGATTGTAATGATCGCATTTGCAGGAAGATACCCTTCAAGAGCTGATGAAGAAGGCGGGCTCTGGGGGTGGTATTGCTGTTATTGGTAGCTTTCTAGGGAAGAACGGACCCAAGTTCGGCGGGCTGGATGTGAAGCGAGTGTATTTCGGGTGAGTCTTGCTGATGATCTGCATCTATCACCATCTCTGTCCTGTCGTATGACTAACATAGACGATATACGATTTCACAGAAATTGGCTCAGAGACTATAGTCAGGTGCGTTTTCCTGAAACAATCCCACGCTCACTTTCTGGAGCTTATGTCGAGGAAAGGCAGTAGATATTGCCGGGCTGAAGAAGCTGCAGTTACAAGTACGTGCTGATCCTTGAGCTATCACGGTGCCTTGTTAAACTAAAGCCGCTTCACTAGACTATTATTAATCTGTGCATGGTTCTCGGCTTCCTCGCCCACGGATATGCCACGCACGAATTCGAGGTCACGGAAGAGCGATTGGGATGTTATCTCCCGGTGCGAATATGCGCACGTCCTCTGATAGTTCACCGCCTGACTGCCCACCCCCACCAATATAGACGGAACACATTGACAACCCCAAAGGGTACGGCGAAGGCGAGGATGCGCGGAAATACGACCGACGACTCCGCGGACCGGTCAACGTGCGTGTTACGCCCACCCCACCCGCGCCCGTTCACACTAAACTAACCTCCGTCCTCTTATTACATAGCCTCAGGAACTCGAAATTGACCCGCGAACAGGCATGAAGAACTACATCGCAAACGGTGGGCACCCCTCACCGTGAATCCTCACAGGGCCTGTACTTACCGCATATCTCAGAGAACGGCTCTTGGGACACCTCGAAAGCGCTCGTGCGCCGCACGCTCGAGCATTGCATCCACCTCGGCCGGCAGGCGCGCGCGCAGGGCCGCAAACAGGACCTCTACGAGTCGTACCGGCTCCTCGGGCAGGCGGTGAGCCCCTTCCGCCGCATGCGATGGGTTGGAGGTAAACGTAAATTGCTTGCTGCAGCTGCATACTTTGGAAGACTTCTCCGCACACTCGAACTTCTGCGAAATCGCGCTAGTGTCGATGGGGCATCACGACGTGTTCGTGCAGGTAGGCGATAGTGTACGCATACAGGCGCCCAATGGGAAGTGGGTCGCACCGCTTGTTACTGGTGTGTAATGTGCATCAGGTTGCATGCTTGGGGGACTAGGACGTTGAATGAATCTAGGAACGTTCGGGTCGAGCGATTTTATTCACAGTTTATTGGGAGGTGAGCCGTCTCGTGAATCGCATAGTCAAGGGTGCAGTTACTCATCACCTGATCTGTTTGCTAATAGAGGCTACCGATCACATTGTACGTCTGCCGATACTCGCTTGTTGTCGATACTAACGGTGCATGCATACATTAATTAGAGCGAGGTAATTGCCGCCAGAAATTAACTCGGCACCCGCTAAGTTCTATACAGGCATCCGTGTCAGACCTCAATCGCGAGCTGAACAACGCGACCGCCAAATCACGCTCCATGGGGTCCGGCAACAGTTCCCCGGCAGACGTCCTCCGGGATCTGCTGTTCAAGCTTCCTGGGGGCGATGGGGGCGAGATGAGCAGGGAAATGGTGCGTCGGCCTAGTCGAGGTGGTAGAGAGGAATAGGTGACCTAACGGACGTGTGCAGGACAGTGTGGAAAGGATAAGGGCAGGCCCTTCGCAGCCTGGCGCGAAGAGGCCGGAAGACATGAGCCCGCAGGAGATACACGCTGTTTTGTGGCAGGTGCTGACGTTTAGGGATTCAGGTGAGTCATTTACTCGGGCTCTGTTGCTTCTTTTCTTCCCCGTTTCGAGAACACCAGTGCTGTTTCCATTGCGTAATTTCATGTTGATATACTTGTTCGGTTTCTAATCATCGCCCCGGTTCGATCATCTAGTGGTGAAGAAAATCGAAAAGACCATCGGTCAGTTCCGTGCAAGCTATAGTAAAAATCTGACAACATTGAACAACATATAGAAAAGATTCCCGGGCTCGGGCCCCTCATTGAGAAGCTGATGGAGTCTATACAAGGTGGGTTCGCTGTTTCGACCTTGGTTTCTCGGACTGACTAAATACCGCCGCTAGTGTTCATCTATACCACCCTTGAGGTAGGCTAGGAGGCGATATTGAGATCCGAACGCTGACATGACGTGATGTTAGCCATATCTCAAACCCCTGATGAAGGTAGCCACGGATGGTCTGATGAGCGCTTCAGGTGAAGTCATCAATACGCACGACCAATACGAGGTAGACTTCCTACCCTTAATAGCCTGTATGGATATTGACTTCGTTGCCGTTTCTAGGTGTTTAATGATCCGCGCGCCGTATGTCATATCTCCATATCTCTACGTCAAGATTCGACTGACTTCGAGAAATAGTCCGACCCCACGCATTCATTCCTCAGCAAGGATCACTTTGTACGTGGCTATCAATGGTGAGTTGGCCGGTAATTAACGGGATCTTTCTAGAACCTCATATTGAATGAACCGGCGGGGAACCTGGCGAAGATAATCGTTGTAAGCTCAAATACGCAACGATCGTAGCGGTACTTCTCTGACGCTCCATTAGGCACATACCGTCAGCTTGGTAGTGAAAGCCTGGGACGACTCATCCATGAACGTCCATCAAATCACCGAAGACATTCTCCAATGCCTGTACGTAACCTTTCCATTCCCCAGTAGTTCGGAACGATCTAACCAAAATCCCCCGAACCACCCCAGCTTCCACCCAGACTTCCACAACCCCTCCTCCGAAATCCAGCGCAAGATGCTCCAATTCATGCGCGACTGGGTGCAGGGGCTGGGGCACCGGCAGGGCGAGGTGCTCCGGCGGCTCACGAAGAATGCCGTGCGCAACCACGAAAACATCCGCCTGCCGGGCGAGGGCGCCGCGCACCCCACCGGCGCCGCATACAACGCGGGCCAGAACGTGCAGCACGACATCCAGGGCTATATTAGCGGGATCCCCGGGCTCGGGCAGGCGCAGAACCTGCTGGGTAAGATCGGGAACCGCCCACCGGGAATGGGGATTGGGAGGGAAGCAAACCCCGGGCCTGGGTTCCCTGGTGCGCCGAGTGGCGATGGGTACCCCGGCGCGTCTGCGTCGAGGCCGCCACCGGTGTCGAGCTATGCGTCCGAGCCCTCCACGGGCGAGGCTGCGAGCTACTACGGGCACGGACAAGGACAAGGACAGGGACAGAGCGGGTACAACCCCCCGTCGGGCGGGCCCGCGTTCCCCTCCATGCCAGACTTCCCAGGAGCGAATCCAGGCGGGCCACCTCCCCCGCCCCACCATTCGCGCCCTCCGGCGCACCACCAGGAGTCGCAGCTCCACGGCGGGTACGCGCCAGGCTACATCTCGCCGCCACCGGGGCCGCCCGGGTTCCCCGACGCAGGCGGGTACGCGCCCCCTAGCGGTTATGGCGGCGCACCCGGTGGATATGGCGGCGCGCCTGGGGGGTATGGTGGTGAGGGTTACCCACCGCCGCCAGGACCGCCTGGCGGCCCTGGGTTCCCCGCGGCCGACCCGTGGGGCGCGCCCCCTGGGGGCCCGGCGTTCCCGCAGGCGTATCCGCAGCCTGGGCAGGGGGGAGGGTATCAGAGCTATGGGTATAACGACAGCCGGGATCAGAGGTGGTGATAGGGGCGTTGGTTGTGTTCGGTGTGACTCGGAATCGAGAAAGGATTGTATTGTATCCGTCTGTACCCTCTCTGTCAGTTTTGTCTTCCTCTCGTTTACTGTAATGTGAAGAAAATGTATCTTGGATTCAGACCGGGGTGTTTATTGTTATTGCTGACTGCTACTGACTATCGATGACCAGTGATCCGGGTGCGAATAAATTACCGATTAATCTACGGTTTCTTCTGTATTCCCTAAGCCAAACTACCAAGACGAGTCCATCGTATTGAGAATAAACGTAGAGTCCGCGTAACATAACTAGAGAGGGAAAGGAACGTGGTAAGGAGTGACAACGTATGCATGTAACGTGGAAAAGAGAATTACGGCTACTCGGGATCATACACGCGCAAGAGGATTGTTTGTACAGGATACAAAAATTGAATGCTTGAGAATTGGGTTGAAGTTGGCGTTGACTCTTGAGTAGTCCGTGCCGAGTACGACTACTTTTCTTATTCGTATTGGGAAATCCGAGTCCGAGTCCGGGAAGTGGAAGTGTTGGTACAAAGGCCGGTGGCAAAAGGAAGAGAAAACGAGTCCGCTGAAGTATATTGAAAGGAGGAGTCGACTCATTGCTGGCGCTCGAGGATGGTCATGAGCCCTGGGACGCCCTTTGCCTTGTCGAGCGCGGGCGGCTTGCCGGGGTCGCGCCGGGACGTGCGGGCTGCACAGGCTTCATAGGTGATCTATCGATGTATATTAAGGGGCTAGTCATGATATGAAGACGAGAAAGGACGTACGTGGACCTTATACGTCCCATGGCTCCCGCTCTTCGACGTGGGATGAATGGTGCACGTCCATCTACAGAGCCACAATCAGCATCTCGCGCGATGTGATCCCGCAGCGAATCCGACTCACCGCTCGTCAACCAGACAATTCGCACCGAGGCTCCCCACCCGCTCGAGCAGCGCGGCCCTGCTCGCGCGCAGGAGCTTCGGCACGTCGACCGCGCCCGCGCAGACGAACGTCTCCGCATGCGCGAGCGGGAGGCGCTTGGCACGCACGCCCGCGTCGTCGCGCAGCGCGGCGTCCGTGTGCGGCTCGGGCCCTGAGCTGCTCGTGATGCTCGGCCCGTGCGCCTGCGGGCGCAGCTTGAGGAAGAGGTGCGCGACGTCGCCGACGGAGAGGCGTTTGGTATTCGACGTCGCGGTCGTCGGCGAGGCGGGCGGGGAGGCGAGGGGCGAGTCGGGGGAGGTCATGCGTGTCAGCATTGGGTGTGCAGGAAACGGTTGAAAGACAAAGAGAAAGCAAAGAGGGATGTGGGAAGGCGTTGAATATAAGATGGAATGAAGTGATGCCGAGGGCCTCGCGACGTCCTGCACTAATGCGAGGATCTAGATCCTATTTATAGAGCGCTAGCCACTTCGAGCCATTCCACGAATTGTCCGCCCCTTTGTTGTATCCTCGGTTATCCGAGTAATGGAATCGGAACAATTAGCTTCCTTGCGTTACTCGCGGGCCAAAAAACAGCCCAAGGCCGTCATTCATATTTTGAATCCAGCGGGGACTCGGACGCGGAAGCTCCTCAGTGTTGGACCCTGGACCCGAAGTACCAACGTTGACGCCACAATTGGAACAGCGGTGCAGAGACACCACGACTCTCTGAGTTTTAGAATGCGTGCGCCTACTTTAATTACATTGACAGGCTTCGCGAAGGTCGCACCTTTATAAGTTCCGTCATCCTCGTGCTGTATACTCGGGACCCACAACAGGGACTAACAGGCTAACCGTACAGCCCCTGTATGCGTAGGCACGGATACATCAACACCTGCAAGTTCGTATAACCCTCTTTCCGCGCCTCCTCGCTTACTGTCAACCCAGATTCTAATCGATTCTGTAAATATACTACGCCAATGCACAAAGTGCCGGAACGCGGGACTCTCGACTCTGGACTGGTCTTCACACCGTCGGAAACGATCGACATGATATGTGTAGTTCATTCAAAACGTCGGAGCGCTCTCCTCGACCCTTGCCCTAGACCGTGCCTGTCGATCCCGACGAGCCCGCATGCATCCCGGAAGTCGTTCTAGCCTCGTGTCCTTACAGGTGAGCGGGCTTGATTAACCAATGGCTCGAGCAATTGCAAGCAACATGCATCACAAGATAGACCAGATGGGTCTGCCTACCCTGGCCCACCCAAGCTTCAGCCGCAATTAGCGACCCTGCGTTGAGCCGTCGTCCCTCCGATATTTCAGAGCATTCAACGGTGTACCCTCACGCAAACCCACGCCTGATTAGTCGTGAAGTGTCCAAGTGCCAGAAACCTGATGTACACTGTACATGAACAGACACCTAATGTCACCATTTTGATAACCAACCCAGGTGCAGACGGCCTATTCATCGAACGAATACAGATCCACACACTGGTAAGTCGATAATGACCGGAAACCGGCGCTCGATCACAGCGAACTACAGCCTCACTCCTCCAGCTGGATTTCCCTGAGCTTGCAGATTTCTCGGAGCTCGCTCACGTCCGCCCGGTCGAAGGCATACTCAACCACCCCGCGTTTAAGAGTCAGGGATTTCAAACCCGGGCCCATCTGTCCCCGCAAAGCGCATATCAGAACGCGGAGGTCCTCTGGCACAAGCCCCGCGTGCAAGGCTTCGAGGGCCGGTGGAAACGAAGAAACCAGCGGTGCGATAGGCAGCGCCGGCCCAATCTGCAGACGACGAAGCATGGGCAGGGCTGCTATCGCCGGGAAGAGGTCCTCCGCGTCGCTGTGCCCCCGTTCATGCTCAGTGTACCACCTGGACCACTCATGCACGACTTCCTCGCTGGGGAGAAGAGACAGGTCTTGCAGAGTCTTCTGCCAGCCCTTGAGCGCCGGGACGAGCTTTTCTGCGATGCGCGTCGGCGCGCAACCTATCATGTTTGCCAGTCCAAACTCGAGTACTTCGATCTGGGTGGCGAAACGGGAGAGGAAGTCGATGTCCCCGGCTGTGAGGACAGTGTGGCCCAGCTTGAGAACCCGAAGCGAACACAAGCTGGCGTCGCCTCGGGGGTGGACACCTTCCCACGAATACAAATATTCGTCCAAATTGCAGTCTGAGACCGCCCCCTGCAGGACGTGAACACGTTCAATGGAGGGCCACTCCAACATAAACAGCAGCAGTTGTTGGAGATTGCAAAAGTGAACCGCGGGCCTGCCGTCGTCGTGGATACACCGTTCAATGCAAAAAGTCCGGATGTCCCGGCATTTGGGAAGGACGGCGAGAAAGTCCTCGGCGCGCGCCACCTGCCCCTCGCTCAAGCGGAGATCCGTCACGTTGCGACAGAGCCAGAGCAATTGCAAGCGGGACAGTGACTTCGTGATGTCCACCTTGTGCAAATCGCAGTCCCAATCGGCTTGCGGATCCCGGGCAGGCAATAGCGTGAGCCTTCTCACGTTCGCAGCGAGAGAAGGATGGGCCCGCAACGCATCACAGAGTGCCTCGACGCGTTGAATAGTCCAATCCCGGACTTGGATATCGTAGTAAAGGACGGTGACAGCAACCGCCCGCCAATGCTTGTTCACGAGAGCTGAGTTGACGACGGTACGCAGACCTTTGCTGTAGGTTTCGAATTCACGATCACGGGAAACCAGTTGGAGTTTAACCCAGTCGGTGGAACTGAGACCATCCAAGAAACCGAACGTAGTGTCAAGGAAGATGCGGCGTAGAACATCAGCGGGAGCAGTAGCCGCTGGTCCACTTCTAGTAGTAGGGGAATTCATAGGACGACACCTGGAACCTTGGTAGCCGTCAAGTACTAGTACGCAGCAGGTGGTGAGGCGAACACAAATGTCCGAGTCGGTTTGGCCCGTACCTTAAGTGAGATCGATATTGAACAACGTGTCCGCGAGGGAAGACATTGGTTGGTTTGATGCCGGGGACCCACATACCCAAACAGCGGTGATATTTGGCGCTTCCGAGTCTCGAGACGTCGACGGTGTTGTGCTGATGACTTGTGATGCACTATTCTATGTGGTGTGAGAGATCAATTTGGCTGGAGCTGCAGAAAGTGCGGCTGTCCGTAAGCCCACCTTGAAGTGGGGCCACTAACGAGTTTCAAAGTGAGGGCGATCACATGGAGGCAGCAGGGAGACAATTATAGTACTAGTACTGTGCTTGTTGACAAGTGCCGCTCTAGCCACAGATCATCGGCATAATCTCGCAGCTCCGAGACGTACATTGTAACGAATACGATGGCATCCCATCGTGATCGACGACCGGCCAACAGATAACAACCGTAGAGTCGAGGAAACAAACGAAGCATGCAGGCCGGTGTGCCACAGCGAATCAACTGTAAGATATACAATTTCCTACTTTCACCAGGCGGTGCGGTCAAAGTCGGCGTGCGGATACTTCTCCTTGATCCGCTAGATGAGCCACCAGGCGGGGGTCGCATACGTGACATGGGGATCGCACAATTCCCCGCCCGTCGACTTTAGAGAGTGGAGGAGGCCAACCATGCGCCCACGGCTGTCAAAGATGAGGGAGCCAGAGTCCCCCTTGGCTGCAAATGGGCCCGACCACTGACGATATTCGTGCTGACCGTGGTAGTAACGACAGTAGTTGTAGATCGCCAGCTCAACGGATTCGACGCCGTCCTCGTCGCAGACGTACGACTCCAGCCCAGCATAGCGGCCGACAGTAAGCTTGGTCGCACACCCGTGCTTCAGGTCGGTGAAGTTGGTCTGGTCTTCGCTCTCGAACTCGGGGTTGGCCAGCTGCTCGCGTGTGACGATGCCGCTGATCCTGAACTGACGAAACACCGGAACCTCGAACCCCAGCCAACCGTCATCCTGTATCATTCTTTGTAAATCGTAGGGAGGAATGTCACCTAGAAAGAGGTTTATCTTATGAGAGGCGAATAAAATAGAGACGAGTCAAGGCACACCCAGATCCACGACATTGCCACTGAAGTGCTCCTTAAACTTTGACTCGAGGAGTTCGATGGTACCCCAATCTTCAGTGAACCGTTCACCATACGCATCCACAGACACGGCTGGACAAAAGTGGACGTAGCCGATGTTGCGCCGCGAGATGTCACCCCACTGCGCCAACAGGACCTTGTAAAACTGCTCGAGGGCTCCGATGGCCCGTTCCGCCCGCTTCAATTCAGACCGATACCTCTGAAGCAATTCAGACTCTTCCTGAGCACCCTCGTCCTGACTCGGCACCTTCGTCTCCAACTCGTTGATCACCCTGGTGTGATGCTCAGCATTGATGGTGCGGCTGCTGACGGCGTACGTGATCTCGTCCAGGCCCATCTGGATGCGACGAAGTCCGCTGGCTCGCACTGCACACCGACGAGCGCCCTTGGGCTCGTGATCTTTGTGATACTCCTTGCGGAGGACATGGTAGTTAGTGACAGCGAAAACCTTGTCGCTGAGGTTGCCTTCCTGGTCGCGATTTTCGTGGAAGAAAAAGCCGACGGTCCCATGGGCATCGTCCTTCTCCCTCTCTGCAGCGGAAATGGGCAACTCGATGACAGGAGAGAGATGACGGCAGACGTCGACGGTGGGATTGAGGTCATCCTTGACAGTTAGGAGAGCCGGACCAACAGCTTTCTCGGTGACGGCCTCACGCCACTCTACCTCGACGCCCTCGACGCCGTTCCGTTCGAGAAGTTCGAGGATGTCCTGAGACACGTCGTGGCGGGTGTCAGCCGAGATCGAGCCGGGATAAACGGCAACCCAGATCACCACCGGGCCCAGGACGTCCTGCTCTCCGTGCGGGACGAAACGGGCGAGGTCAATGGAGTAGCGAGTCTTAGCCACTATCCTACCAGCGCACTCACTTCGCAGCTGATGGTACTCCAAACTTCGTTCAGCGGCGTACCGTGCACCCCGCGCAGTGACTTGCGCGGCGGCTCGACAGTGCTGTCAGCGGGCGGGACGAATGAATACTTGCCCGAACCCGTGCGGTACAAGAGGAACGGGTTACCGTCGACGCCGTCGTGTTGTCGTCCCAGATCCTTTGGCAATCGGAGACAGCGGGAGCGGAGTCCGTTGGCGTCAAAGCTCGGAGGGCTGAGTAGCGTCGCCTCTCGCGAGCCTGTAGCTCTCACTGTTGTTGCCTTTCATGGGCCTGAAACTCAGCCAGGCACTTGAGATCGAAAGGACTTGGAGTGAGCTCTGCATGGACGAGAGATCTAAGCACGGAAGTAATCTAAGCGACTCGAAAAGGTCCGGGTGCTTTGGTCTCCTTCGCTTGTTGGACGATGTCGACACTACTGTCACCGAGAGCAACCACAAGTCGATGCGGTACGTGTGGCGTGTGGCACGAGGAAAAGCACTGGTAGAGTACTCACATGGGTCCATATTTGAGGTGGTGAACAAGCGTACGTCAGCCGCAGACACTGAGACAGGAGGCAGTGAATTGTTACGATATCGATAATGCATTATGATAAATAAACAGATACATAATGCCGGAAATCGACGAAAACATACGGCATTACCGCTGTACTCATCTCGCACCAAGGGAGCAATGCAGTCTCCTACGTGGATTCTATAATATAGTACTCGTACACTCGCATCGAACAGTAATATCAGGGCCAGTCCTGAATAACAGTCTTTCGTCTACGAGGAGACAATCCGAACCAGCACTTTGGAGACCTTGTGCACAGCCAAGGCATTGTATTCCAAAAACGCATGAAATGGATTGACCAGTCGTGTTCGATGTAAGCGTGCGTGCATGCGTGCTGCGTGAGTGCGATAAAAGTTACAAACGATACAAAGTGGTATTCTTCCCCGTCCCATCCCATCCCTCCTACTCGTCAAAGCAAGTCAACCAAACCAAAAGTCCAAATCAGCCAAAAGCTGTTTCTGTATTAACAGTGTAGTCAAAGACATGCATGGCGTCAAGAGACTCACATCATCTACAGCCGTCCAAAATCCCTACACAAGCAATCACATGGATTATGTCATGGGTGCCGGGCGGAAGGACATGATCTCCTCGTATAATAGCTCCTTGAGCTGTTCCCGGCTGATGTCGTCCTTGTGCACTATAAGTGTTTAAGGGGACACAGTCAGTAATCCGTAACCTCCGTAACCATGGTCCAGGGAAAAGGCGTAACGGAAGCATAGGCAAAATGAAAAGAATGGGGAATAGCATGGGAAAGGTGGTCGGTAATGAAATTGGGAAGAGACTCACAGTCAAATTCGAAGAACTCCGGGTCCAGAGGAGGTGCAACGGGCTCATCTTCAGGGTCATGCTGGAACGAAACACAGTGGGTAAGCCTCACACGGGCAAGAGACTAAAGACAGGTACACACGTATGCTTCCAGATACGGATGCGCCAGCGCCTCCTCGACCGTAATCCGCTTCTTAGGGTCAAACGTCTACCGACCCAAGCAATCATTAAATCACATCTCATTTCCGCACCATCACAGTACACTCACCAGCGTCTTCGTGAGGAAATCCACGGCGAGCGGGTTCGCGTTCGGGAACAGCTGGCTGAACGGCCGCTTCTTGCGGAAGGGCAGCGCGCGGATATAATCGCGCGAGCGGCGCGTCGTGATCGCGTAGAACTCGTCGAGCGTGGGCGTGCCGAGCACGTCGAGGATGAGCGTCAGCTGGTGGTGGTAGTCCCGCCCCGGGAAGAGCGGTTTGCCGGACAGCATCTCGGCGAGGATGCACCCGACCGACCATACGTCGATGGCCTGCAGTATTTGCGGGTTAACGTGAAGTCAAGCAGATGGAGGAGCAGAAACGCACCTTCGTATACTGCTTGAACGTCAACATGATCTCGGGCGCGCGGTACCACCGCGTCGCGACATACTCTGTCATGAAGCCCGTCTCGGTGCCCGACGGCTCGGCCGTCTTCACCGAGCGCGCCAAGCCAAAGTCGCATACCTTGAGGTCGCAGTTGGCGTTGAGCAGCAAATTTGACGGCTTGAGGTCGCGGTGGATGACGTCGGCCGAGTGCAGCGCCTTGAGTGCGCGCAGGGTCTGGTAGATGAAGTACTGGGCGTGGTCGTCGGAAAGGTCCTGCGTGCGGATGACGCGGTGCATGTCGGTTTCCATGAGTTCTTGGATAACTGAGTAGGATAGATTACAATTAGTCCGGACAAGTCGATTGGGTCAGGGGACAGGAGTACTGACGGTAGACTTCTTTGAACTGGTCTATTGAGGGAGGCTTGATGATATCTAAAATCGAAATGATCTGCAGAAAGCAGGGATGAGTGGATTCCAAGCGATCGCAGAGAGACAGGGTGCTTACGTTCTCCGAGACACCAGCCTCGCTGAGGAATTTGAGGAGCTTGAGCTCTCGCAGCGTCCGCAGGCAGAACATCGAGTGCTCGAACGGCGCAATCTTCTTTATCGCGACCTTCCGCCCGCTAGGTTTGTGCACTGCTGAGCACACAATCCCGTACGCCCCCTCGCCGACGACATCCAGCACCTGATATTGTGTGCCTAACGCAAACAAACCGAGTTCCTTTCAATCCTATCGCCACCTCGTATACATCCTGAATACTCACCGACGTTGAAACGCACTTTTCGCGGTGCCGGCTGCGCGTGCGATGCTGCATGCCCGTGCTTTGACTTGGAAGCGGCCTGCTGCTGGGTAGACGTCTTGGTCGTCGACATGGCGGAGAGAAAGGTGGGCTGCGCGGCAGCGAGGAGAGTAGTATAAAGAGGACAGAGAACAAAAGCGGCGATGAGACCGGTCGCAAAGGGAAGGCTATATGTAGTTTCGCGGGGTCGTTTGTTGTCCAGGACAACGCGCGCACCATTTACAGCATGTGCACCCCTCGAAAAGGTAAATTCTGCCCGCGTCCGCGATGCGATCGCCCGACGGCCACAACGATGTTGCGCTCGCCGCGATTGCTCTGCCATCCCCCGGCGCTGCCATGGCGATGGCCTTAGCTGGCGTCTTTGCAAGCAGCTGTCCCTGATTCCAATCAAAATCCGTTCTGATATGATATCACTTTGCGTTCGTATGTTTTCCGAGTCCGAGCACGGTCGATCAGTCTAAGGATTGACAGGACTCGACGTTCGCCACTGCCATCATCTGTGTGTCCCACCAATCGGTGTCGTAACGCATAAATAGCTTTGTTGCAGAGAGCTATCGCCTCAGCTGGGCGTATTACCTGTCAATGCACTTCCTCACACCGACCTTCGCATAGTTGCTTCGGGATCAGCATCACCAGGGGAGATATTCCTGAAGATGTGGCAGGTTAATCATCATGATCAGGACGAAAGGCAGTCAACCTCCGCTGATACCAGTCGACATGGCTTTCATTTCGGTTTCTTTTCCAACTTGCTGTCAGTCATCTGCGAGACACAGACACACATGTTCGTCGAGAGGGGATTGAAAGACACTCCTGTTTCATCATGGCCCTGTTGTTGCATATCGCCAGTCTCCTCTGCCAGGCGTGTCGGTTTCAGAGCCTGAGTTATTCGAATTGATCCGACTTTGAGGTGTGTAATCCCTCTTCATGTCACTAGTATTTTCGGGTTGCGCTGAGAACCATTCCTAGTCTCCTCTGGCCTACTCCAGCGCCATTTCCCCGAAGCTGGACCGTGTATTCAGGTGTACAGGCTGCTACTTCCCAGGTATTTCTGCCCGGCCACGTAGCGTGGAGCGGTTGCCTGCGTCGTCCGATACGGAGACTGTCAGTATCCCGCAAGCGCAGTGCTAGCTATAGTGCATGGCCTGCGACTGTGCGTTGACATCATCTCACACAGTCGCAGACGCCGCGATATCGCTGAAGAGATGCATAGATGTTACTGTCCTGCAATCCGCCTTGTTCACAATCATGCAAACAAGGCATTTTGCATGCCAAACACGTCTCAGTCTGTGCTGCCAGGCGTCTCCGCATAGCCAGTCCATGTCGGAAATGATACAGACCATGGTAGTCTGGGAGGATACCTGCATTCTCGCTGATCGATGTTTACAGCCATAGCATATCCTAGCTCCCGTCCCCGCAGAGCCCTACACCTGGCAGCATTCCCCTCTCCTTCTATTCCATCCTCACTCATCTTCTGTCAATCATACTGGCGCCTAAGTGCACGATGTCCAAGACAACGCATGGAAGGATCCTGACACCATGAATAGCTCGTGGCTGTGGCGTTAATTCTCCAATGTCAGCGTCCACCGGTCGCCATAGAGCGCTGTGAGGCTCGGCAGGTCAGCACAACACCCAGCTAGGCGTATATGTATATCAGCCTGCCTCAGGTGAGCTGGGTCATTCCTGTAGCCTGTTGTTCGCTCCTCCCGCTGACCAGTGCTTTGTTACCACCGACTCTTCGCAGTCGACCTAATATCCAATCGGATCTTTGCCGACAGCGGGACGATAGAATAACGAACAGCTGGCGGACTTCTACTTGTCTGCCGGTAGACAGGTGCAAGCTTAGAGCGACCTCATGTGCCCTCGCAAAGCCAGCGGGTATATGCGCGGCTATCTCACCTGCCGTGGGGCAAGTAATTTCATGGGTAGCAGCTCGGCGGCGGTTGCACGCGAACGCTACAACACAAGCTGCGTTTACGGAAGCACGGTGACCGATCACTCAGCTCAGGTGAGCTGCCATCCGACTTCTGCCTTGTATCCCCAGGGAGCTAGTCCCCGTGCGGCTTGGGTCGCGCTGAGGAGGTTTGTTTCCCCAGGTGTCATGGATACTCGCAGCTGTTCCTGAGGTATGAGACAGCGCCGTATGATGCGCCCAAGAGCTGTGAGCGCACGAATGCAGTCTACCCCAATTGTAAACCCGAATGACGCATATACTGGATCCGGCAATCTTGCGCACTGTGACGACGCAGCGCACTACGTGTACTTTGGCTTGCCTCAGGTCAGCTTGCTCCTTCCTTTCGCACCGTCTCTCAGGGTGCTTACTCATGGAAGCCTAGCCGAGCCTAACTTTCACAATCTCGCAGTCAACTCGGTAGCGGTGTATCGACATACGTATTTACGGCCAATATCGTTTTCGCGATGATTTCGGACGTCGGCCACACCACCAATACATTATCCGGAAGCGTTCAAGACTGAGCCAATAGGTCTTACTTGTGTTCGAAGAATTTGCAAGACCGGGTATACATATGCGCTGTTCTCTCGGTGAGCTCTACAGTTACCTGGTAGCTACTTCGAGAGCTTCCGGAAGTGCAGCATGCTGGCTCTCACGCGGGAGCGCCAGGCTACCCAAGGCCGTGCGGCACCCAGGGACTAATATGGTCCAAGCGACCGCTAGCAATTCACTGTCTTCAGCCATCAGCTAACAGCACCCCTCCCCCCGACTGTAGGCAACAGCGGAAGAGATGACAGCTCAGTCTTGGATATCCAATATTAGCCACCCAATACAGTGAGCTGGCCGAAACGAACGACGGCTCCTGTCTCCCGCAATTCGTGAAGAAACGGCGGATGTATGCGCAGGTTAAGCGGGGTCTACGTCTAACTCGAACCATCGACAATACCATAATTTTGCGGGCGCTGGCTCCCTTCAGAAATCGATGGATAGCCGGCCAAATAGCCATCGTGACAGCCAGAACAATATACAGCTGATGATTATTACTCCGCTATGGGTACAGTGTGCGCAAGGCAATGAAGAGACACCGTGCAAAGGCAGTCCAGAGACCACGAGACAGGATGGCAAGCAAGCAGAATAAAGCTACGAGCAACCAACGACTCAACCACAGTTACCGACGCATCCTCTTCACGTCCCCGCCCTCGCCGAACTCCAGGTCCGCGAACGGCTCCCTCCTCCCAGACGTGGGCTGTTGCTGAGCAAGGCCCATTCCAGGTCCTTGAACCGGCCTTCTCCCAGATCCCGACAGAGGCCTGCCAAGGTAAGAGCGTTAGTCCGGTTGGCATCCACGGATCGGTGGGATGTCGACTTACCCCATGGCCTCTGCTGGCCGCTTGGTACCGACCATTGGGCCCGATTGACCCGGCTGTCGCTGGTGATCTGGTATTTGTGCCTGTGGCGGTCGGCCATCTGTCAGGGGTTTCTACAAGCGGAGTGAACTTAGAAGTACAGCAAGATGTCTCGCATGCTCCTTACCATGCCGGGGGGAAACTGAAAACCGCCGGCAGACGGTATAGAAGGTCGACCTGATGCGGATGGTGCACTATTATGAGTTGAAGTATCGGCTTGCCTTGGGCCTGTACTGGCTTGGATCTGGTCCTGCTGCATCGCTGCGCGTACAGCGGCGTTTGTCGATCGAGCCAGGGATGGTCGTTGGCCTGCACCATTGACCGGAGCACGGGAACTGGAGCTCTCGGTCTGAGGCCCGTTCATGCGCTGTGGCTGCTGTTGCGGTATACTTTGGCCAGTGAGGTGATCCTGGCCGGTAGCTTGATGTAACCCGGATGCCTTAGCTTGTCCAGCGCCGCTCGGTCCACCTCGTCTCGGTATGTCCGGCGACCTCGCAGTCGCGCTGTGCTGCGGTCGATTAGTCTGCAACTCCGAGCTACTGTCGTTGATCCCTGATGCGCCGGACAACATGATACCGCTGCAGCCCTCGTCAAAGTCGACGGGACCGCCGATACCCGAGTCTGATGGTCCCAAGTCGACGGCCGCGAGGAACGCGTCGTCGTCCGAAGGCCAGGTAAAAGAGTCATCGGCGGATTCGGGAGCTCGCATGGGCGCTTCGGTTGAAGTAGAGGGCGCGAAACTGACTCGTCTCTCGTCACGCGCCTGTTGAGGGGGTGGATTGGTCTGCGGGACTGCAGGTTGTTGCTTTAAGCTGTTATTGATTTCTTCCAACCTACGGCTGGGGCCGGATTGCTCTGGTGCTTTGCCTTTCGAGTTGAAATTTGTTACAGTCGGGTTGCGATTTACTGAAGTCCCATGAGAGCTTGATGATGTTGCTGTAGTACGTGGTGGGCCCATATTTGAAGAAGCGGGCTCTGTCTTGATAGGAGTGGTGGTCACCGTGGACTTCGACGACGATGCGGCATTATTAGCAGGCCCGCTTGCCGGTGTCGAATTGGATGCGGACATATGAGATGCTCTCGAACCTGGCTCTGCAAATTCGGGACGGCGGTACAAGCCGGATTTATCGAATTTAGCCTGAGGCGCCTTCAGTAAAACGACATGCACGTCGTGCGAGAGGGCCTCAACGCACTGGTGGCACTTTTATCTTAACAACCTCTTGAGCGTATGATTTGTCGTACAAGCAATTGCCAAGCAGGTTGCCAAAGTTGCGGAGAGCACGCTTGATCGCGTCGGTCACAGCTTCCTTCTTACACTTCGAGAAGATGTCGCACTCAACGCTACGTAGAGCAAAGTTCTGGTACTCACCTTATCGAGCGCAGCACCTTTCGACTTAGAGTTTTCGAGCATGCCATAACCAATGTCCTCATGGAACGCACCGTCCCTCAACGTTACCCTCACTATCGCGGTGACCCCGACGGTATATCGTCTCGACTCCTCACTGAAATCAATGAAGTCTGTAGTCAAACTGACCACGTTCGAACTCCACCCATTGAATCCAAAGACTTCATTCGCGAGATTAATTATCTTCCACCCCTCTGCGTACGTGAGTTTCGGGCCACCGCCAGGCCCTGGGCGTTGCGATATGAACTCTGGTCCCAGCTTCATATCCAACTTCGCTTGCAACTCCGCGATCTTTTGAGCAGAGCTCTGAGACAAGTCCATATACAAGGATGCTTCGTTCATCATGGACAGAGGTGGCTGCGACGTGAAACTGCCGTGCATCTGTGGGTTGAACGACATCGCACCATGAATGGATAAGTTGGGATTCATCGGCTGCCCAAACGGCGCACGAATTTGGGTAGCTTGTTCAAAAGAGTTGATAAGGTGTTCACTAAAGCCGCCCGACATAAGTCAGAAAACGGGAGCAGCTGCAGTCACTGGTGACTGGTGTGGCAGCCGAGGTGGTGGCAAGAAACAAGAAGGAATTTACGCGCTCCCGGCGAAGACCGTGACGCGTGTACGCGTTCAAATCACGTGCTCTTGGATCGGGCGAGTGAATTTCAATCAATCCCGGCCACTGTGCCAGTCCCAGCCTTATGCCTGAGGCGTGAGGGCCAGGGGGTGAACTTTTGGATCTTAGATACAATGTATGAGTAGTACTATAACTTCTTGTGTGGTATATCGAGTTCCTGAGTCAGATAGTAGTTATACCGGTTGTGCTTAGTGGATTCGATTATGTATTTTCACTTAGTTCAGAGAAAACGTAGCAGAAAGCAGTATTTCTCAAGAGAAAGAGTATGACGTTCTCCAGTTCATGAATAGAACAGGAGCCTTACTCGAAAATCCCTCCAGATACATGGACGTCGTGATTCTTGTCTCAAGATGCTGCAGCAATGACATTCCGTAACAATAAGAATCCGTATATGGACCGACACCTTCCTTAGTAGGCCACCGCTGTGGCGATGTGCATGTTCACACGGGGCTGCACGCAGCCGCCAAGCTGCGGTCACAACCTTACTCTACAACCCACATGCACAATGTCTACGGACCCATATCATGCCGTTCAACAAGAGGTCTCTGCGTCGCTTTCGACAGCTGAGACTTTACGCGCGTCATACCAGAGGATACGCAGTACAGCTAGTCAAGGCAGCGAGGAGCTGGAATGGGCCAGGAACGAGTTGAAAGCGACATTGGCTGCTTTAGAGGCGGACTTGGAGGATTTGGAAGAAAGCGTGAAGTATGCATGCGTTCAGGTCTTCTATCATGACAACTATGGCTGCTCGACTGGAACTTATGACTTGATTTCACAGAATAGTCGAGCGGACGGGAGCCAGGATGTTCGGTATTGAGGAGTCCGAACTCATGGAACGGAGGCAGTACGTAGACCGAGTAAGGCGGGAGATCGAGGTGCGTCGCATTCTTTGTATCCCCACTCCCTGCACGTTTCTAAATACCCGCTCTATGTAAGGGCAGGGTATGAGAGCCGAACTCGCATCATCCCAACCGGCTGCTCCTCCTTCCTACTCTTCCCGAACGCAGACGCCCAAGCCGGCGAATGCCCCTGATGAATCCGACCCGCAAGCGTCCTGGGCACACCAGGAGCAGGAGATGATGTTGAGGCAGCAGGACGAGACTCTGGATGTCATCGGCGGCACCCTGAATACACTGCAGAGACAGGCCGGACTGATTGGGTCGGAAGTAGCGGTTCACAATGAGTGCGTGTCACTTTTTTGTGTGTGCCTTGCCACGCATTGGCTCCGTATGAGGACCGCAGAACTACTGCAAAGATATGAGCATTTACTTCGCGTCCTTGATCCGTGACAAGTTCCCGCCATGAGATGCGGGCTTTGTTCAAAGCTTGCTAGAGTCGTAACCCTAACCCTGCAACTCTCTTTGTCGCCAACCTAGCACACGGTTGCTGACCCTACAAATATAGGATGCTATCTGACCTGGAAACTGGCGTCGACCGCACGGAGAGTAAACTGGGAGATGCAATGAAGCGGATGAGAAAGTTCATAAGAGAGACGGAAGGTTCGTCCTACTTCCCTCACCTGCATGGTCATAGCAGCTGATTTCAACCGTAACCTAGAGACGAAGTCTGGGTGGTGTGTAGTAATATTGACGATCGTCCTCTTATGTCTTCTGCTGGCAGTCATCCTGGTGTGAGATCTGGTGCGAGCGCATTATTGTGGAGTTTATAGTTCACTCCATGTTCTAGCTTACTTATACTCTTAATCGTGTTCTTTTGTCTCGTCAAAGGGCCTGATAAATAATAACTGGACCGAGGAGGATCGCTCCTTGCTCAAGGACTCATTCTATACCGTGCACAAATTGGTCAGAATCTCAGGAAGGGCGCTCAGGCGTTCGCTCTGAAGAATGTACCCATCTGGTAAATTGCTATTGTCCCGACTATCGCTTGCGCCTCAAAGCCAAGCCACATACGCAGGTGCCGCAGTCGAAGTGCCTGGCTCGTGTTCGTATCCGCTCGATAAACTCAAGGATCACTGAAAACAACGTGTTTACCTCGAGGTACCAGCCGTTCAAAATCGCGGAGTCTGTGCCATCATCGCGGCCATGATCAACCCTTCTACTTATGAATTTCGCGGTTACATGTAATCGATCCTATGACATATAGTTCATTAATTAACCATACACTGTATTGAGATCCAAGAGATCAGATAAGCTGCCCAACAAGCATAGGTGAGAACGGAAATTCTATGTATCTACCAGATATTTAGAAAAAATCGAGCCAGCGACAGGGACAGAATTGGTATGCTTCGCTACTCAGGAGATGACGCAGGCGGAGAAGCACGAGGTGTTTTTTTCATGACGCGGCCGTCTTGCCGATGTAACAGAGTCGGGTGGACCACGGCTCACGCAGTACGTCCTAAAACAGGTGCCAGCGAGATATGAGTATACATCGTGCGGAGGGGGAGAGCAGGTTGTACGAACACGTCTGCCATTGAGGTGGCGTAGCCACTGCTCGGTAGGTACGCGGGTATATACGCGGCTCCGTCAATGGGAGCTGCATTCGGTTCCCCATGACCTCCGCCGCAGCAACCTTCCTGGCGATAGCTTGCGGCAGGAGTACTGAGTCGTGGGCAAGAACATCCAGGGTGTCCATAGTTAAACGCAGATGCTGGGAGCGCCGAACACTCCGAGCACTGGCAGGAGTCGACTCCGTTGAGAGTAGCGAAGCTGTCGCCGTACACATGGGAACACTCAGTGGGCGGGGCGCAAAGCATCCCAGACGGCCGACACGATGTTCCTGCAACGGGCGGGGTCTGTATCTCGTGGGGAAGCTTGTACGACGGAGTGCAACCCGGTGGCGTGCTGTTCAATGTCGAGGATTGCATTATTCAAGTCAGGGTAGTTGCTATGGATGGGGTGTGGGAACTCACGAGGGCATAGGCATCGACTGTAGACCAGGGATAGCAACGGCACTGTAATTGTCGCGTGCCTGTGCTAGACGGATGATAAATGCCGGTACAACGTCGAGAAAAGAGACAAGCGACATACTCTGAGATCGTCGCTGAGCGTCGACTGAACTGGAGTAGGGGTACATTGCGAGTGAAGAAGGGAAGTAAGTTTGTTTAGAGTGCGGGCGAACCCAGTTGTGCTGAAGCTAGAGTACTTTGCTGGACACCAGCATACCAGTTATATACTATGACTGAGCCAGCGTACGTTCTGTCAGCTTCAAAGGACCGATAGCATATACACACATCATGAAGTGCCACACCTCGTGGATCTTCAGTGGCAGCCCGGAGCTCGCTCAACTAGCAGCGCCATTCGCCAATAGTCTGATAAGCGCTGAAGTGTGAATGCAGCGGAGAGGGGGGTACACGATGTCCCGTCGGACTCGCAGTGCTCAATAGAATACCTCTGATCCACGTTGTGCGACAGCGTCGAGGGAGATGCTGAAGAGCGTAGTTAATAAGCAGTGAACACTGCAACGTTACTCCGCTGGGCCACTTCGAGTCACAAGCCAGATGATCCCTTGCGAGCCTGTGCCTCCGACTTTGCGTGTTAGCCACGCGCATCAAGGCAAGCGTTGCTAACTGCCCAATCCTCAAGTGATCTTGAGCCTGAGAACGGATGCATATCAGCAGCGAGAGACTGTGAATTCGGCAGGGTCAGATGCTGTGGCTGAACGCTGAGGCGGTGCGTGGGGCAAGGCCTCGTTAGGGATTTTGAACAGGCCCCCAGAGGGAGTCCCGCTCTTCCCGGTCGCAATCCTCAATGTCTCTAACATCGATAGATGCGATGACCCCAAGTAGTATAGGGGTGCGCTCAGCTTTAGCTTAGAGGGCTACGACTGGAGCGCCGGCACAGTGATAGTAATAACAATAAAGAACGCAAAAGGTGAAATATTACGGTGACCCGATGCTCTCGACTTCTGGGACGCTTCAAGGCGATTGTCCTAACCGAGACCACAATAAGATTTTAGGAATCTGAGTGACCGCTGTAGCCGGGATGTAGGCGATCTGGATCTGCAGCGTGGCGTGCACTGCATGCACGCGATCCCGCAATCTTCGGCTATGAAATGACGCAGCCCCTGCAGCATTCTCCTGATCGCGACTTTGCAGAAATACTTAGTGACTTATGTAGTGTTGCGGCTTAAGTTTCGGTACTTGATTGCCATCTTGAAGGGCTCGAGTAAACGCGTGGAAGAAGGAATGCAGGCAGTCGCTGAGTGCGCATTGGGTAGTGCTGGCGGAATGGCGCAGGTAAGCGTGTCTCTGCCCCGTCCCCCCCTCCCCAACGTAGACTGACCTGTTACAGCGATCGCCGCCTCCAGGATCTGTCATAAGTCGAAAGCTGGCGCAACGAGTCTCGCTGGATTCTATCTTCGATGTTCAACCGCTAAAACAAGGCCTAGGGATTCAAGACAAGTAATAAGCTGAGAATAAGGAAGGAGAAGCGTAAAGCCAGCGGCATATGTAGCCTGTAGCTACATAGTAGGTCGCGCGTAGCTGCTAGATCCGATTCTAGCCCTACATGTACATGTGTCATAGGGTGATTTCTATTAATAGTCACATATTGGTAGCGCGTCTAAATATAGCACCTTTTACACGTAGTGTTCCGCAGCCCCTTCAAGTTCAGCATTCCACTCCTTGGCCTTATGCATCTCTCAACTCTCTTGCTGCCGTTGGCGGCGGCAGCGGCGGTGCATGCGTCTGCACTGACCGTTCAAAATGCGCGTGTCACCGTCTCCTCAGACGCGACGCAGCTGCTCACGGAACAGTATGTATCCATCTGCCATGCTTAAATGCAGGCAATAGCTGACGGGAGGATTTAAGGCTTTCACTCGACGGGACGCTACCGTCGTTGTCCTTAGGACCGACGGACACACTGAAGCTCACGTTCCAAGTGGCAGAGAAGGATGGGGGAAAGGGCGTGCAGCCTCACCAGACATTCTTGCGGTTCGAGTCTGGAGGCGAGGAGGGTGTACAACCTGTGCGGGTGACGGCTGGAGGGAAGGCGAAATTTGAACTGGTCAGTACGGTCAATGCTATGCATTTGCTGCTCTTTCTGTTTTGTCGCACGAAGACAGCGCATTTGTCAGGCTTCATCTCTGAGAGGAGCCTCCCTGCTTCCATCTGGTCGTGCCGCACCCGACCATCATAGTAGCACCAGCTTACTTCCTTACTCTTCCAGAACATGGCCAAGCCGCCCTCGTCCCTCCCTCCAACAACGACCGAGCCCGTCAAGGTCCAGCTCCTCCTCGGCTCCTTCAAGCACTCCCCCTCAAAATTCGACCTCTTCGAGCTGACTGTCCCGGCGTCCGCACCACCCGCCCAACACCCCGACGAGGCCTCGTTCCACCCGCTCCCGCCCATCGAGCACACCTTCCGCCCCGAGCAGAAGGTGCCGCCCAAGTTCGTCTCCGCAGTGTTCTCCGCGCTCGTAGTCGCGCCGTGGGTAGTGCTCCTCGGACTCGTACGTCTTCCTCTTAAACGTCGCCGTGGTGATGGATATGTCTAATGGCGTTCCAGTGGTCCACGCTACAATACCGCGTCCCGCACCTCTTCTCGCCGCACATTCTCCCCTTCACCTCCTCCCTCGCGGCATTCGAGGCACTACTACTATGGTACTGGGTTGATCTCAAATTGGGACAGGTCTTGCTGTACGGGGCGATCTTGGGCGTTGTCACCGCTGTAACCGGCAAGCAGGCTCTGGGAGCCGCCGGCGATTGGCGCCTCGGGAAGAGATGATCGCTTGCTTCATCATGTATTCTTCTGACTTTCCTACCCTTGTGTCGCCGCATCCATGGCAGATAAAATGGAGATGGAGTTTTTTCACATTCATATTGCACAGTAGGAAGAGAAAGCCTCGCCGAAGTCAGAACACAAGGGTAGCGAGCGGTATCGAAAAGAGTGAACAACAGAAGGAGGTACAACAGCAAGCACACAGTGACAGTAATGAGTCAGGACATTGTCCAATCTCAAGCAGCGAACGACAGAGTTCAGTTAAGAAGGAAAGAAAGAGTTGCGTTCCGTTCCGCGCTTAGCCTGACAACCCGAGGATGGAATTGATCGACTTCGGCAGGAAGCTGTTCGGGCTGATTTCGGGCAACGGTCCGCCGACGGCCTTGAAGCCCTGGGTGTTGGTCTTGAACGTAGGGGTGGCGTACGCGCCTGCGGGAGGTGCGAGGAAGGGGTGGCATTCCGTGTTGAACACGACTAGACAGAGTGCTACGGATCAGCTTCGGAGAAATGAGCGTGCCCAGGATAGAGGCTTACACTTATCGAGACTGATGTGATTGGGGTCGTCGAAAGTGAGATAGCTGCATCGTCACCAGGTCAGCTTCGTACCAGAAACCCTGATCGAATCTGACGACGCACAGGTACTTGAGGACCTCGGCGAACCAGAAACTCTCCGTATCGTCAATCAAGGAGGAGTTCACATTGTTCACGTCGTTCGTCCCGGCATAGCCTCCCGACGCGTTCACGTATAGGTACTCGTTCAGGCTCTGAATGGCGGCGGCGGCGTTGTCGAGGTACTTCGTGTCGCCGGTGATGCGCCAGGCGTAGAAGTTCGACTCGAGGACCTCGGGGCGGAGGATGTAGTCGGATGCGGTGATAAAGAAGCCGTGCTCCTGGTAGAAGGCGAGCTGGTCTGCAGTGGGAGTGCCCTGGCCGGTGTAGTTGCCGTCAGAGGAGAAGTAGGCGAAGACTTCAGGTCCGATGCCAGTACTGCTCGAGGTTAGATGTGCGAGGTAGGCAAGGTGGAAGTGACATACGCGGTGCTAGCGTAGGTGTTCCAACAGGCATCGGCGAGCTTCAGCCCGATATCGACGTAAGTCTGGTTATTCAACAGCTTGCCGCCGAGCATCCAGTTCCCAGCGTGGAAGCACTCCAAGTGAGAACCGACATGCACGATGTTACCGTTGTCATCGCGGTCTGCGACGTATGTCCAGTTTCCGACGGTAGATTCCTACGACGTCGTCAGAATCACTGCTATTCTACGGAAAGACAACCAGAATCGCACCCTGACGAGATACTTGATGGATGAATCCACAGCAGCCTGCCAAGTCTCGACGAATATAGGGTTGTTGGTGTTCGTGAGCCGGGGGTACTTAATGAGGTACTCGAAGTAGCTGTCGGATCCTCCACCCCACGTCTAATATTTGGCTCATCAGGGTATCTCTGAATGCCGAATTTGACTGCTCTTACAATGTAAGCATCGGTGAACTGACCGGAGGTAGGGTCAATCCCCTGAGGTGCAAGGCCTGGGGAACCGAGTCAACAGCCGCGTGAAGGAAATAGGAATACTACGGACCCGGGAGGGGGTCGGGCTATGAACGATGATGTGGAGGTCAGCAATCGGCATTCATTAATGGAAGTAATGCGGACCACTCACGAGACTGGCGATATACGCAGCAGCCTTTACCGCATTTGTGGCGTAGGTCTGATTACCGGTGTATTGACTGACTTGATGTCAGCAAATGAAAATTCAGATGCGTTCATATATGCGCTCACGTCAGCTTCGTGTACTCCAAGGTGAGCTAGAAGAACTCATATTAGACGCTATCACGCATGTAGCACCAGTAAGGCTTACAGTCCCGGCTTCAGCGATATTGGTCTACAGCAAAGTTAGGCGGTTCGCAAACCACGAGGTACAAGTACTCTTACGGTAGTGATGGTCGGGGAATTCGTGGAGAAGTCCACATATCCATAGGGAAGGCTGTTATTCTAACGAATCTGTGAATATAGACTCCTTTGGGGAGCGGCTGCGAATACTCACCCCTACCCACGCATACATCAGCTTATCGGCGACCTCTTTGGCCTTCTCCACCAAAATAGGGTGGACGAAGCCACTGAGCTCGTACGCGCTCAAGAAGCCCGCAACGTAACGAATGGTAGTCTCGAATACGCTATTTGCCAATAGAAGTCAGTCCTTATGTTACTTTAGTGACATTTATACGAAACCACGCGCACCTGACCGTATCTGGGGTCTGAGACGTGCTGAAATCGATGTAGGCTGTGTAGTTCACGGCCTGCAGGAAGTCTGCTTCCAAGCCCATAATAACCTGGCCAGGGAGTGTCAGAAGGTGGCTGTTTTAAAAATAGCACCTTCAGCGTACCATGGTGCCTAGTGCATCCGCAATGGACGCTCCCCACCCATTCCGACCATCGTTGTAGGTCTTACTGATAGGCTGCAGGTCGTCGTGCCCCCAAGCGTATTCCCTGGGTAATGCCTCAGCGGTGTCAGATTTAATGCGCGATCCACTGTCACAAACCTGTACGCGTTCCAGCTGTTGGTGAACATCGTCCGGACGGTCGATGCGTTGCCCACGGCATACGAGGGGACGGTGAGACCCTGCTTCTGCACCAGGGCACCTTGGACCGACGCCCACGACGAGAGCGCGAACGCGCCAGCTGCGAGGACGCGCTTGGACACCATGCTGAGTCACTCAAGACCAAGAACCGAAGGGAGAGGCGGGAGAAAAGAGCGACGAACCCAGAGGCCCTGTGTGCGCCCACTGTGGTGGTATATAAAGCAGAAGGACGAGCCTTGGAAGCAATAGCATGCCGAAAGAAGCCCTGATGGGAAGCATCCTGAACCGATCTGGGTACCGTTCATACAGGCGTCCTTCGCGATGGTAACAGAGCTATTTCAGCGATGTTCCCCGCCATGGATCGCGGTGAGCGTATGCAGACGGTCACGAAAGGAGACCTCATGACTTACTTTGTAACGCCATGATTGCCGACTTGCTCTCTGATCGCGACGTCGGGCTCTCTTCCCTTCTCTTCCCTGTCTGGCATGGGAATGACGCGGTTTACAAGGGTTTACAGAACAAAACGGCCTTCACTTCGGGACAGGTGCTCAAAAGAACGTATGTCGGCTGAGTCCCGGCGGCTATGAAAAGCTCAAGTACACACGGTGGGATGCAAGAGAAGGAGACAATCAGAGCTTCAGCGGTGCTCTGGACTTCATATCTCCGCGGTATCACCTACCCCGACGCCGTCTCGACGGATGCGCAGAGATAGAATTTTCCGCGGATTTTCGTTCGTAAGATGGGCCACTCCATTAGAGCCATACGAGGCAGTATCATAGCAAAGTTCGAGCAATCCGGGGCTGATGCAATAGAAGCTATGTAATGAGCCTGGTGGCGTGTGGTACACCATAAGTCACAAAAGAGCGCCAGGAGAGCGCAAAGAGGGCAAAACAGAATTGCGAGGTCATCCAGATGGACAGTCGAGCAGTGCAGAACACCGAATCAGTCTGACAACAATCTAACAAGGTAGAAATACCTTTGTAGACATAACCTTTTAAGGCAACAGCACTACTATAAATAGCCGCTTTATCCGTTGGTTTCTCCGTCTTCCACTACACCCTGACAGCCTTCACTGAGCGCGATACGAAGCATGAAAGACGACCAGGCGTAGGCTCGAGTACCTGAATACGACCTGAATAGCCTCCATATCCAGACGCTTGCGCTCTTGCGTGCAAGCGGACGTTGGGCTCCTGAGGCCTCCGGTGAGGTTCGGCTGGTATCTCCGTTCCCGATGGGGACTCCTGTCCCGTGCAAAAATACACACCAAGCACAAGCGCAATGCTATGAAGAGCTCTCAGGCTTCGGGGCCAGGTGATAGAAGTCCTCATCCCCAAGTGTCTCTATACCATGCCTGCAGGACAAGCCGAATCAGTATCACGGCCGATCAGGCGTTCAGGTACACGAAGCGCATGGCCCGCGGGTTCACACTCACTTGCTCTTCGCATGGGAGCGCAAGCCGTTGAAATCCCATAACCTGCCATGCGGGGTCGCGGAGGGCTTGGGCTCAGGTGCCGCTGCATCTGCGTTGGGAGCGGCTCCGTTGCTTGGAGCGGTCGCGTTTACCTCCGCCACGACGTTCTTCCTCTGCGTGCAGTGCCGGCATCCGTACTCCTTCAGCGACCGCGCCTTCTTAGCATGGTAAGACTGCTCCATGAGTTTGGCGTGCAGTCCGGTCTCGATGGGGTGCTTCAAGATGGCGTTCGCCTCGTCCTGCAAGATCAGCTTCACTTTCATGTCGTCATGCCGTCGGGAGTGCATACACTAGTGGACAACAGAATCAGGCCATTTAGTCAGCCACAGAATCTGTTTTCTTACCAGACGATTGAAATCCATGACGATCGCCGCGTCGCAGGACTCGCATTGGATTCGCTCCCCATACCCAGCCATCACGGCAAGCGCATGAGGATCTTCAGGATCAGTGTGAGTGAGCTGTAGTACTTGCGAGATCACTTTGATAGCCTAAAGCGGGGGTCAGCACTTCTCGTCAGAGGCGCAGTACCAGGTAAAACAAGTAACAGCCGGACGTACCTTCTCGTCTGGCTCAAACTGCTCAGCCTTCCAAACAAATTTCGCCCTCTGTTTCTTGTTCAAATGTGTACATTTATGAGCACAAACACCCGCATAGTCCAGACTCCCATATTCTTCGTACTTCTTCGCCACCTTCTTACATAACTTGCACACAAACCTTGCCGTCAGTCTCTCGACAGGATGCAGCTTGTTCACACTCGCGCTCTTCCAGCCCGAGTATCCAAGGACAGCGGCTAGGCGCGCCTTTGCCTTCTCTCGCCACTTGTCCAGATCCTTGTCCAGCATCTCCTTGAGGAACTGCGTGCTCTTCAGCTGCTCGGAGACGTCCTCAGCTTCAGGCGCGGCCGACTCCAGCGCCTTCACCACGGGTAGCCGATGAAACTCGGTGAGGCTTGGCATGGGCTCGTGCATCCCCGCGGACTTCATGCGCTGATAGTGCAAGGCGACGCGTGCCCTATTCTGCCTGTAGGTGTTCTCCTCCTCCCGGCGACGGCGCCGTTCAACGATGTTGATTATCTCGGGTTCAACCCGGTCACGAATGAACTGGAAATCTGTGGGGGTATTAGATAGTTGGCATGCCGCATTTTGAGGGATGAATACTGGCCGCTCATGCTGATCTGTTCCAGCGAATTGTTATGGGCGCGGAGGTACATCTCGAACGTCCGCGCCACTTTCAAATCGTCCCAGGACCAGCCTTCCTTCGCAGCAATTTGGTGGGCCCTAGGCAAGCGGGTTCATGCGAAGCCATGACCAAGCGGAAAATATAAAACATACGTCACGTCATTTAGCTGTCGGATACGTCGGGCAAGTGCTTCAAAGGCCCGTTTCCACTTCTGTAAAACAACCGCGTGCTATACAGTGTCGTCAGTGTCATCCATTGCTCCTTTACAGAGCTACGGACCTCCATCATGGTCACGTTCCTTCGAGTTTCAGCTTCGTGTGCCTTGGTATACGAATGAAGGTCAGTCATACGTGATGGATCGCTTTTAATGGTCCATACAACGAGAAATTGGGTGAGGACGGCGTCTGATTCAGCACTGGAGTTTTGAGCCTCTTGGTACGCCGCAAGGGCCGGCTCGAGCTCTTCCTTTCGATACCATTTATCCATATCGGGATCTATGGTATACTCGTCGCCGGGATCTCCCTACACATCATGATTGCAGACACGCACAGTATATTGTAGTCGATGCCGTCGTAGAAGACTTCACAACACAGAGGACTGCGCCTGCCTCTACAGATGGAAGCCATCCCGAGACAGCATCGCCAGCCACCGTTGGCGGAGCTTGCATAAGGGTTCTGTTCGCAACTATCAAGTTATCATTTGGGACATATGATTCATGTGCGTACCGTCCAAAGGCGCGATGGCAATCATTCTTCCCGAGGAACAAGTAGAGTTAGCTGATGGCGTCAGCCCAAGGGGCGGTGAACTACTAACACTGGCACATAGACGGATACGCATGGCATAACATGAAGTAAAGGCCTTTGCAGTCTTCTTGCATACCTTCGCAGAACGTCATTGCGCAATCAAGCGCACATAGACAGTCCAACTCACATGGCACGGAGCAGGGTCAAAGAGCCATGCAGCATAGGCCGACTCTGTCCAATTGGGTGTTGGGTCTGGTATGCGGCCAGCTCTGAAGTTCCTCCTGGCCTGCCGCCAGATAAAATCCGAGGACCTGCGCACGAGAGTAGCACAGAGGTATTTGTCGCAGCGAGCAACGGCTAAGACGTCGCGCGGTGATGGGACGAAAGAAAGGATCTCTGCTAGGAGTTCGAGAGGAATTCGAGCGAGGTGACTTGATCTTGACGGTTTGTACGTGCTTGCGGTCCCCTTCGGTGACTTAGCTCTCCCCTCCCGAGATGTCAATGCCGTAGAATTAGGGATGGGCTTCGGATCGTCTGAAGTGCTAAGTTCATGGAGAGTCTTCGCCTTTTTGGCCAGCGGTTTCGGTGCGGAAGGTACGGAATCAAACAGAGTGGCATCTGTACTGGTCTCCAGTTCCATGATATAACAAGACTTGCTTGGAGGTCTTCGAGACAAAGGACAGTGGATGTAGACCAAGTCGAGTAAGCGCCCACATACGCTACCGGGGGATGCCGAACGCCGGGCTTCTCAGCCTCTCCATCGTCGGCTAAGACCACCAATGTCCCGAGACGTGTTATATTACAACTTACAACTTACATCGGCTCACCTTAACAACTACCATTTGGCAGAGCGATGTGTAGGCTTCATGGAGCGTGTCGCATTCCGGAATCAGTTAACGGCTTGTTCTAAAGAATCGATTGACTGAGACTAGGCGCAGGCCTGTCAATGGCCACAATAGGTGCATTTCATCGTGGGCTTAACCTCGTGTAACCGCCTAATGGAAGATGTGACAGTCCTTCTACATACAGCCTGTCTCCGTCGGGATACCTATCGACTCAGGTATGTGGCGCCCGATTGAGTACGTTCTGCTGAGATCACCAACTGCCCCCCCCCCCCGGGGATAGAAATAGAACTTGACGACCGAAGATCGGCACTACTCGAGCGTAATTGTTAATGGCCCGTCCTTTGACCTTGAACATATGTTGGTATGACCGCAGGAATTTGGAATTTGTTCGTGTGATACCGCTGAACGGATGTAATGATGAACGGCCTCGTGGACTGCCCCTATGATTCAGCGCGATCGGAACTGCTCATATTTGCATTAGGACATCCGGAGCACGCAGAAAGCGGGTGGCGAATTCAGAACTGAACATTTGCCCCGCATTCTGTCTTTTTATATGCAGTACGAGATGGTGTCTAAATTCACCTCTGTCATGCTGCCATCTCAGCCTTATGGGTCTTCGGTTGAAGCCTACACTTCAATCCAAACACCAGAGGTAATTTTAAGCTAGGATAAAAGTTATCAAATCCAAATATAACTGACGCCGCCGACGGGCGCTCAGCCTGTCTGTGCACACTAGATGTGAAGTATCTGTGCGCTCTGGGCCAAGCGATGTATTCAGTAGACGATGAAATTGGCATTCCTCTGCAAAGGCGGACCACCCACGAGCAAGTACGAACTCCATGCGAAGACTGAATCTTTTGGTGTCTAATCCATGCCATGTTGGCCCTTCATGACCTGAGTAGACACCCGGATGCAAATCGTGTTTATTATACCGTCAACCCCCCCTCCCCCGCCCGTCGGTTGGCAATCCGAGAATGGAGAATGATTTGATCGGTGGCTCCATTCCTGTTGAGGTGTTGCGAATGTCAAGGTCAAACATCAGAAGGCGAGATAAGACATTAGAAGGTGAGCCCCGTTCTTGTTCAGGGACAAATGGCCCGCGGCCGGCTCATGAATTAATCACCGCGTTACTGCCCCCTCCCTTGGCACTCCGTAGATGCTCAGCCTTTGATAACCTATTGGAGACGCCTTGGTCTTGTTCTATGTTCTGCATATCCTTCGACAGGCGCCGTGCTCCCCCGCGGACGATTGCCGATGTATTCAGGTGCTTACCCCAGGATGTGTCAAGCATTAGGTAGTCTCCCTTGTTATGTTTTGCTGGGTCGTGAACTATCCTCATGCCACATCCAATTTGAAGCTATAGCGACCCGATTGGGTTGATCCGGTGATGCCTGAACTATGTTTTGACATTCAATGAGTGACCTTGCATTTTCACGACTGCGGTTCTCCGACATCCCGCCTGATACGCGTGGCTCGGGCGCAGGGTATCTTTTTCGCTGGGGATGGGGCCTCCCTCATCTGTCAACATAAGGACAATCATGTGAGAGGTGCTCTGCTCTCTCATCCGAACATGCTGATAATCTTTTGGCTATGTCGCTGATAGGTGCCTACGCATTTCACCTATAACTGTATATCTGGATCCCATCGGTCCCCTATTCTGATCCAGCCTTGGGCGAAATGAGTGCTTATTGGTTTACGACGAACGCGGTAGTCGGCCTGCAGGACGGGCCGGCTGATACGGGAGCGTACCCTTTCTTGAAACTTAGGCCTCACTTTCATGCACTGCTTACAGCTCCAATGGCTCGTATCTGCAAGACAAAGATGACTACAGAACGATTAATCTCGGCTCAAAGTCTGGACTTGGATCGGGTAACGTAGCAAGCTATGCTTGCCACATTCTTGACTAATAGAATATACTCGTGAGCTGGAGGGCCTGCGCATCCACACATTCGGAGATGCATGCTTGTGAATGGTCTATCACTGCCCAATACCATAATCAAGCCTCCCGGTCCCCCTGTCAGAGGTGAACCTGGACTCAGAGACCCCAGTCATGCAACTGTCGCTATGAAAATCTCATGGCTTGCTTCAGTCACAAGTCTCTTCCAGTGCGTTTTATTTTTGTTCTTCTTTAGGAACAGAATGGTGTTGACCGGAGGGCAATTCAGATAGTCCTGCCATCAGCTAAAAGCTGGGTGCGACACGCGTAAAGTCTCAAGGCCTATTATCTAGGCCCTTTCATCTCGCGGGAGAAGTTATTATGCACAAATGGAAGCGATGGGTGCTCCCTCACTAGGTTGGGACTCAGGAGTCCGCTTGTGCCACAGATTTCGGTAGGAGTGTCATCCAACCACAGCAGTGCTGTATGTTTGATCCTGTCATGAAGACTGATGTTTCATTAGTGAGGATGTGTTTCACTGAAGCATCCCAGCTTCCCGACCAAGGTTCACTGTTTGTGAGAGCTTGATCTTGAACCCTTGCCCTGTCTCGTAACCAGCCATCCACCTTGCTCATCGAGTATGCAATGAACAAGATTCCCACTGAAGGTCCTTTCTCAATGGCATGCGTAGTTTTCACCAGATCGACGTATCGTTCCAGGCGGCTCGGCCCGTCCATATCCCATCCTATCAACTAGAGGCAACGGAGGACAGGGTAGGTGACTGCGTTTCTGGAAATTTGCTATGTACTTCTGAAAAAGGAAGTTCCTTGATTGCTCAACATGAGACAGACATAGCTGAGTGTACAGCGACGAATGCAAGACCAGTTAATTCGCCTGTTCATAGCGGATAGACACAGCTCTCGACTTCCCATCGTTGAGGGATCCAGGGGTATGTTCTATCTGGACTGACTTGAGACACTCGTCTAATCCGCCGGTCCCGAGAGTGCAGAAAGATAAGGTTCAGTCCAAAATAATCCAAGGAGTTGATGTCGAGGTGTTTAATAACCGCTGTATAAATATAAACTTCCATTACAAGCTCTGCCGATGCATAGCGAACGGGGATGGGACGATGAGGTGAGCTCAGACATAATGGAAGCGGCTCTTCATACTGATATCATAATATCGAGAATACCCAACCCTAGCCCTAAATAATGGTGGCCAAGGCTGTAAAGCAAGACGAAGGATACTCGCGTTGGATTCCGTGTTGTCCTTAGTATCCCTGCAAACTGCAGTTGACCGGGGACTCGGTTTAATGACGCCCCAACTATCTATGCAAGAAACGGATTGTCGAGACTGAGTGGGTCGAGTTTGGTGTCCACTCGGCTCAGACGCGTTGTCAGGCTGCGGGTGACCAGCTACCGCATGTGCTTAACACCCCCTCAAGTTACTGAACGACGGAGGAAGCTTCTTCTCCCGTGCCGCTGGAAGCCCATGTGAAACCCATACATTTGTCCCATATCAGTGGTATGGGGCTGTCCGAGCTGTGTCCCACCTGTTTGATTTCTGTTGATCGCGGGATCCGGGGAATGCAGCTTTGTGTGATAAGTCAAGAGTCAGTTGTACCTTATTCATATAGCTGCCGGATCCTATGGGTATAAAGCCTCCTGAAGGCTTTCGAGGCGACAACGTCAGCTGCATCCATCACCGATATGTCTCCGAGTACCCGTCCAGTAGCCAAGGGTATGTGTCGTCTCCGCCTCTTGGACCATGCGCTGAAATACGCTCAAGGACCCGCTGCACGCGGTGACCGCGGCCCACAACAGACGACCAGCGTCGCTGTCCCTCAGTATATGTAAGAGACCGATACTTCTCCGTCGTTCGTACTGACCACGTAGTCCTCGTCCCTTCGCTGGAGGCCCCTCCGCTGGTCGACCTCGCGTTTCCCAGCACCCGCCGTCTCACAGGCTCTGTCGCGGCACGTTCACCGTGATCAGTGTAGGGTCTGGGGGTGGGACACCATTGCCCGGCGTTAGCACCGCTCCTGTCACCTTACCAGCCATCTCGACTGCTCCGGCCGCCACTATTTGCCATGTTCCAGGCGTCGTATATGCCGCTTCCCACAATTGCCCGTATGCTACTGAGTCCCGGTGAGCACACGAAATCATTCACGCAAAATTACCCGCTTACTTTGTACCTCCTTGGAAGGGCTTGCCGCGCCCCCCAGGGGAACAGTACATCGGGCTCGGAGAACTGAGCCGACAGCAAGCACTGGGCATTCGCCTGTTACGACGGTCCGCTGTATATGTTCACCTCTTTCGGAAGGCTGAGTTCCATTGTATCTTGAATATACTACTGTAGTATTCGTGATTTGTATCCTCTGTATCCATGGTCTGGCTCAAGTTCATGCCCTAGATTGTATTCCTAGCTAGATTCCCTTTGTATACGTGCTTTTCCGAGGTCTTCTGCATGCCACCGCTGTGTGTTTTGGCACGGACTCGAATGTAATAGGTTTTGCAGTTCAATTAGTACCATCATGCTTAGGACCGATCCGCTGGAAGTCGCTTCAGATCTGCGGCAACTCAGACTTCTCCCTATACTATTATTAATATTACGTCAACAAGGTGCGGAACCAACCCAGCAGCGCCGCCCTCTACTTTTGTATGCAGTCACTGCAACTTCGAAGCTTTTTCTGGTTCAGTCGCATACCCGGCCCGGGAGCCGGAGGTTCGAAACTCCGTGCTGTTCTGAACAAGTTCTGAAGCTTGAAGGCCCAGTTCGAGCAGGTCGTAGTCCCTTCAGAAATAGCAACGCTCAGCGCCGCAGGACTGTCCCGTGAAACGGCTCGAACTTCTCCCATCGCAATCAGTTGTCGCTATAGATGAGGGTGCCGTACGACTACGAGGGTTAACGTTGACTAGGACATCGAACTTACTCCGGATCCATCCTCGCCAACGTCCGGGATAACTCGAACTCCTTGGAAGTGACTTATAATCAATTACTTGCTTATTCGAGCTCCGTGTCTCTCCACAGCCTTCGACGACTCAGGCTACGACTGCAGACTGCATTCGTTCTGTAGGCCCGTACGCGTCATATTGGAATTTCTAGCCATTTGCAGATCGATAGGCCACCACTTTAAAAAGTCATACAGTCGGAGTGCGTCGGAGATGGTGCCAGGGACGTCGGAAGACAAAAAAAGAAGTCCAGATGGTCTGACTCTGACACCTCGGGGACTTGAATTTCCCTCTCCGACATGGTCCGACTAAGAATGACATTTCAAGAAGTGGACCCATCGAACTGCAAACGGCTGTCACACTCGAGGCTCAGACAACTCCTGCTTCAGGCGATCGCGACGGGCTATGGTATCAGCTGCCTCGGCAGTGTGCATGCCGTTCGAGTCTCTCCTCCAGGAAGTAGTAATTGCGACTTCAATGCCTCAGGTATCACTGTGGCAGCTGAGTGCTGTCCTTCTATCTACGAGCTTGGTGTCGGTAACTATGCCTTCCCTCGCGCCTGAAATTGCGTTGCGCCCGAGGCCGGGGCGCCTGGGCTTTCGAGCGCCCCACGCAAGCTCGTCACAATCTCACCTAAATAAGGTTCAAGTTGCCATCCGTATCTGAAAGCGGAACGGCCCTGCACGAGGCTGTATCTAACGATGATCTTTTGTCTTCGAAGGTCCAGCAGACAAGACCGTCCTACTGGCAACATCGTACGCCTGCGATACCGAGCCGGTGGCAGCCACATGCGGCATGCCACATTCTGCGTCAAACCATCCGATGCTCTAGGCTTGAAACTTCGCCTCTCAAATAAGACTTAGTAGACGAGCAACTGACCGATGCTCGTCGTGGCACGGAGAGCTTCACCGTAAGGTGCCCGTATTACTATACACTATACAGCATTTGGCTCCGAGCCAACTACACGGTTGAATCGCATCAGTACCTAGGCCTGCAATGCAGCTTCCTCCAGGCTTTCTCGCGTGCTTTTCTCGGGCTAACCACTTACCTCCCCACCGACACTGTTCCCGCTGCGCGTATCGCCCTATCTTTCGATGAAGGTTTGCCATCACGAAGTCGGATTTTGTGTTGATCTGTTGCGCGCTACGTCATACATCATACATCATTTAGAGCCATAGCACCCGACGTCTGGTAGATGACATCGGAACCGAAAACTCCAAGCGCAGGGCGGATAACCATACGTGGCGGCCGAAGCGCACTGGGACCTCTGTGACCGCCCAGCATACAACGATTAGGAGACTTTGAGTATCCAGCATTAGTGCAGGGTGGTACATATTCCTTCGGAACGCGCTACTTCCCGAGATTGTCCTGAGAGCTAGCGACTCGAATGGAGTCGCATGTAGCTCGGTAGTATACAGCAACAAAAAGAACAACTACGGTGAACGGGGGGGGACGGGTCAGTACTAGTGATGCCTGCCCTCTGTAGTACCGAATCCGGTACTCCATTAACACTCCGTATAGTACTGCGTGTAGTCAATCGCACTCGGTCTACTTACCAGTGGCTTCTGGGAGTGCGTGCCATAGAAGATTGGTACGAAGTACTACGAACCGACTTCAGCAGGAATTCTGGACGTCGTTGACACCACTACTAAATCGGGAAGGACCAATACTACTCCTGGTCATGTTGAATTTAGCTCTTTGACTGAAGTACGAAGCCTCTGTTCGAAGTCTTGCAGTGCATATAATAATGCTTTGAAAGTATTTCTCCCCCCTGTTTCCCCCCCCCTCCCCCTTCTCTCATGTCCCCACGTAGATCCACAGGCACACAGACCTTGAAGGACGTCTATCGACTTGATTGCATGTTTCAATAGGCGTGTCTATTACTGGAGTCCCTTTGTTCTTTTTGATCAGAAACGTTCTTCCCTAACCCCTGCGCACAACAGATATTTACCGCGAGCTTGCGCATATTGTTGCATAGAAAGGGGAGGTTCTCTGGGTCCTGCGTCGTGACGCTGACCTGCCAAATGCGGTAGACATCGTGCAAGGCACAGTCGCCACGGTGGAGAGCACGGTGGCCCGGATGCGACCTATCTGACACATTGACAGCCTCCATTTCCCTCTTGTGCGTCCGATCGCCCTGTGACGCTGCTGGTTCCCACTGACGCCCGCAAACTGCTCCAGTATATAGACAAGCTTGCCAGACAAGCAGCCGCTCATTCCTTCCCGCTCGGGCCCCACGATGTGAGTTTGCGACCTTGTCCCAATGGCGCGCTGCTGAACCCCCCCTTCCAGGTCCAACATCAACCAAGCGAAGACGGCGTCCACGTCGACATTCGTGACGGCGCTCGTCTTCAATGTCGCTGTCTTTGCCGCCGAACTTGTTGCTTTTACGATTTTACGACCCTATTTCAAGCGAATCTATGAAGCCCGCACATTCAATCCTATACCCAGGTGAGTCGCCATCAGGGCCAGTCGCTCTGGAGTGTTCGCTGATCCGGCCTTGTTCCCCAGCAAACGCACACCGGCCTTGACGGGCAGCATATTCGCATGGCCTATCGCTGTCTTTAGAGCTGATTACACCGACATTCAAAGGGTGAACGGCATGGATGCCTACTTCTTCGTACGCTTTCTGCGTATGATCGTACGCATCCTGTTTCCCATATGGCTTGTCTCTTGGGTTATCCTCCTCCCCATAACGTCCGTTGGCACACATGTCGACAATCACTCCGGCCTGGACAACTTCATCTTCGGCAACGTCGCGCCGAACGTCCAGTCGAGACTGTGGGCACACCTGGTGCTCGCCTTCCTGTTTACCGGCTGGATATGGTACAACATCAAGATCGAGATGCGGCACTTTGTCACCGCGCGTCAGCTGCACCTTGTCAGCCCGGAGCACTCGTCGTCCGCGCAGGCAAATACTATGCTTATCACTGGTGTCCCGCAAAAGTACTTGTCCGAGAAGGCCTTGACGGACTTGTTCTCGCATCTCCCGGGAGGGGTCCGAAAGGTGTGGCTCAATCGTGATCTGAAGGAGCTTCCAGATGCATACGACGACCGGCTCAAGGCGTGCAACAAGCTCGAGTCTGCAGAAACGTCTCTCCTTAACACTGCAACGAAACTACGGAACAAGAAGTTGAAGGCAGACGTTAAGGCCGCGAAGAAGTCCTCGGGTAAGGAAACAGACTCCGGCGCCGTAGATCGTCGACCCAGCGATGGTCGCCCTCTCACCGAGCCCAGTCTCCACACAGTCGACGCGGACGTGGACGCTGAGCGCGATATCACCCTGGCTGAGAAACTTGTCCCCGAGAAGAAACGCCCCACACACCGTTTGCCCGTCGGCCCCCTCCCCTTTTCCCTCCCTCTAATAGGCAAGAAGGTCGACTCGATCGAGTGGGCGCGAGAGGAGATCGAGCGCACGAACCTTGAGCTCGAGAAGGGACGGCGCTCGCTGCACCAAGACATCTCCCTGACGTCTGGCGGCGACATGGGCGGCGAGCAGACATACCCCCCGCTCAACTCCGCGTTCATTCTATTCAACAAGCAGATCGCGGTGCACCTCGCGAAGGAGGCGCTGATCCACCACGAGCCGTACCGGATGGCGACGAAGTATGTGGAGGTCGCACCGGACGATGTGATCTGGGGCAACCTCGGGCTGAATCCGTATGAGAAGAGCGTGCGGGAGGCGGTTAGCTGGGCGTTGACGATTGGGTTGATTATCTTGTGGGCGTTCCCAGGTGAGTTGACTATCTCCCAATCTCTCCGAAAATGCTGATGAATGCCGCGTTTAGTTGCGTTTGTCGGTATCGTGTCCAATATCCGCTCGGTGTGCCAGCAGGCGCACTGGCTGGCGTGGATCTGCGCGTTGCCGAGCGTCATCGTCGGTATCATCTCGGGTATCCTGCCCACCGTCCTCTTGGCGGTCTTGATGATGCTCCTCCCTATCGTCCTGCGGCTGCTCGCGCGCTTCCAGGGCATCCCCACGTACTCGGGCTTGGAGCTGAGCTTGATGTCGCGGTACTTCATGTTCCAAGTTATCGTAAGTGCTTTGCCGGTGCCTTCGCGTTGGAGTTGTGGTGCTGACGAGAGGATGTTGGATAGCATTCATTTTTGATTGTTACTATATCGTCCGGCATTACCGCTGCTCTCCCTGGCCTTATCAACAATCCCGCCTCGATACCCACCTTATTAGCGCAGAACTTGCCATCTGCTTCTAACTTCTTCCTCACGTAGGTCTCTACTCGCACTTCGACTGCATATCGTTTGCTCACCCGATGAATCTAGCTACGTCCTGTTGCAAGGTCTCTCCGGGTCTGCCGCCGGATTCCTGCAAGCTGTGCCTCTCGTTCTGTATTATGTCAAGCTTTATATTCTGGGATCGACTCCTCGGTCTGTGTACAATATCAAGTATGTCGGGAGGTCAGTCGCTTGGGGAACCTTGTTCCCTGGTACTACTCTCCTAGTTGTCGTTGGTGAGTGCACTCGCTCCCTCAAACTATATAATAGCTCATAAACATTTCGCAGCATTCGGCTACATGATTATATCCCCCATCATCAACGGTCTCGCATGCGCCTCGTTCTTCCTCTTCTACCTGGTGTACAAGTACCTCTTCCTGTGGGTCTTCGACCAGCCGCGGTCTAGGGACACCGGGGGCCTGTTCTTCCCGAAGGCGATCCAGCACGTGTTCGTTGGCTTGTATATCCAGCAGGTGTGCCTGTGCGCGCTGTTCTTCCTTGCGCGCGATGGGAGTAACAAGGCGAGCGCGGTGCCGGAGGGGGCGCTTATGATTGTGTTGATTGTGTTTACGGTTAGTCCTGTTTCGACCGTGATTTTGATTTTGAGTTCATGCTGATGAGTTTTTGGATAACAGGTTTTCTTCCATTATACTATCAACAGATCGTACGGGCCGCTCATCGAGGCGTTGCCCTTGACCCTCGTGGACAAAACCTTCGGCATGCCCGAGCCTGAGCCCGTGGACGACGCGCAGGTGCGGAAGTCGAGCGGCACCGCCGTGCGCGAGAAACGCGGCAGCGTGTCGAGCTCGCGCAAGGGCAAGGCGGGCGCCGAACAGGAGCAGCGGGACAATGCGTCGCAGTACGACGCGCACGAGGCGGAGCTGCAGCGGCGCCCTTCGGAGGAGGACAGCGGGCCGCGGGAGTTTGAGCATCCGGCGACTGTGGAAGCGCAGAGGACGATCTGGCTGCCGAGGGACGAGCTGGGGCTCGCGGAGGCGGAGGTGGCGGCGAATCGTGAGCGGGGCATTGATGTGAGCTTGGAGGGGGCGGTGATGGATGGGAAGGGGCATGTGGATGTGAATGCGCCCCCGCCGGAGGAGGCAAGGTTGTTGGCGGTGTAGATTTAGGATGGATGGATGGACGGATTTATATGTTCAGATTCTTTTATTCCACTCTAGTTTCTCCCTTACTGTATCCATAGTTCGTGCGCTGCAGTGCGGTCATTTTTTCTAAAATGTTAGCTGTACCGTGTAGTTGTAATGCGTGTAATTTCAGTTGAAGTGCTACATGATACCCTTCAAATTGGTTTCATAGGCTCGGTATCGCCACTCTGGAATAATACCCAGGCTTGCACGCAATCCGAATTTCTGACGGCTGCCTCGGACCTCCCAGTCGCAGCGCTCTCATCCGGCTTGTTAATTTCCTACCAGCTCTAGGGTAGTTTGAATACGGATGACGCGAATAACGACATAAGACGCAACTGGAAGATGCAAGATAAGGTACGGTCTGGACGATCTCGTCCGAATATTTAAATCCGACTTCTCTCCGGACCCTCCTCCGGGTGCCCTTGCTACTGAACTACAGTGTATTCCCTCCACCTGACCAGGAAGCAGACAGACATGGACCTCCTGCCTAGTACGTCCTAGCCTACCAACCCCCGCGAATCGAGCTCATAGTTCTATACAAGATCCTCTCCTGAAGGCAGGTCGCGATGTGATTCGCGACATATGCATCATCGGCGGCGGCCCAGCAGGCCTCGCCGCGCTCAAGACTATCGTGCAGACGGAAGAGTACAAAGCCGGGCTGTGGAAGCCCACCCTGTTCGAGCGGCGGGATAACGTAGGCGGGGTATGGTGCGCACTAGTGAATGCCTAGTCTGGACAAGTTCTGATAGGATTGAACGGTGGTAGGTTACCCGCACCCCCTACGGATGACCCCCCGCTGACGCCTCTGTACGATTCGCTGACGACGAACCTGCCGCATCCCGTGATGTGCTATGAATGCTACCCGTTTCCGCCCTCGACGCCGCTGTTTCCCCATGCCGCAGTCGTGGAGAAGTATCTCCAAGACTTTGCAGCTCACTTTGATCTTACTCCGTGTATTCAGCTGGATACGTCCGTGGACGAGGTGAAGTGGGACAGTTCGAAGTCCAAGTGGATTGTCCGCACATCCACATTTTCCGGTGCCTCGGAGGAGGCAGACTTTGATTCTATCATCATAGGAAACGGGCATTACTACGAGCCCAGATATCCTGACACGCCCGGCGTAGACTCCTGGCTGAAGGCGGGGAAGGCCTCTCATTCTGCCTGGTACCGACATCCGCACAACCTCGGCGACGTCGTGCTCGTTGTGGGCGCCGGGCCCAGCGGGCAGGACATCTCCGCCGAAACGCGCACCACCGCCAAACTCGTCATCCATTCCGTCCCGGGCGCCGCCAAGTCGGACCTCGCTCCGAACTACAAACGCCGCGGGCGTGTCACCGAGTTCCGCGACGCGGGGCAAGTCGTCTTCGAGGACGGCACGACAGAGCGCGGGATCGATTACTGCATCCTCGCGACGGGGTACTACATGTCCTTCCCCTTCTTCCGCGACATGAAAATCGGGCTGCCGCCCCCGCTCCCGCCGCTCCCCGCGCATCTGTACAATTCGCGCGACCACGTATTTCCGCTGGCGCGGCATGTCTGGCCGATACAGTCGCAGTTCCCCGTCGCGACGGTCGCGTTCCTGGGGCTGCTGCTGAAGGTGGCGCCGCTCCCGTTGCTCGAGGCGCAGGCGCGCGCGGTCGTGCGGGTGTATAGGCGCCCCGAGGCGCTGGATGTGACGCGGGAGGCGGTGGGTATCGTCGCGCGGTACGAGGAGCTGAAGTCTGTGTATGGGGATAACCAGGCAGCGATTGGGGGCGCGTGGCATCGGTTCGTGGGGCTGGAGCAGTTTGAGTACCGGGATGCGTTGAACGAGTTTGCGGGAGAGCCGGAGAACAAGGTGCAGCCATGGATCGTGGAGATGTACGAGAAGAAGGATGTGTTAAGGAGTGAGTGGAGGGAGCTGGAGAGGATTGGCGAGGCGGAGGAGTGGGTTAGGGGAGTGGGAGAGGGGGGTCTGGAAGAATGGATAGAATTGATGAGAAAGCTCCTACGGAGGGCAGAAGAGCGACAGGGTGCCTCTTGTAAACTATAGAATTTTCTTCCAGTGAGTCTGTTGACATTCAAGTGGGTATATACTGATCTTACCAAGTCAGTCTTCTTACATAGAACGGAACGGACTTACCATGCATCAGTAATGTTGAAATCTCGCCCATGTGGTGCCGTAACCGATTACGAACCACTATTTATTCTGTTTCATGAAAGCTGATACTAAATGCCAAGTCGTATAGAGCCGCACTGTCGGCCCCTCTATTTCCTTCTCCACGTCGCTAATCCATCTCTCGACTGTCTGCGGGTCGTATCCTTGAGCAAGAAAGCTGGGCTTGCACGCATGCACGAACTGCTGCGAAGACAAGGATCCAGTGAGGTAAATCAACTAGTCCACCGCAACGAGAAAACAGATGCTTACGACGGAATTAGCTTTCATGATCTGCCCAATCTCCTCCCCGTCCTCAACCTCCTCGCCGCTCCAGTTCACGGGCGCGAAGTACTGCCTATGCACGACACTGTCCAAGTCGATTCTGCTATCGCGCTTCAGGCTGGCGACGCGGTCTTCCATCGAGTAGTAGCCATCCGGACAGGTTAGCTTCGCCCACTCTTGCATCCACCGGGCGAACCAGGACCGGCCGGTGTTGTCCTCCCCCTCGACTGCTGCTGCCAGCGGACGTTTTTGGGCGTCGTACAGGCGGAGGTCGCCATCGGCGTACAGGAGAAGGGCGCCTGTGCGGTATGAAGTTGTGCCTTTACTAGCGACACTATGCGCTTACCGGGTTTCAGACAGCCTACTATTATGCGAAGACCGGCTACTGGGTCGAGCAGCTGGTGAAATGCCACTTCAGTGATCAGTGGTCAGCAAAGATTTGCTTCAAGTGCGCTCACATGGCCTATGACGCTTCGACTGTGGACCATATCGGAAGACCCTTGGAATTCCGATAAGCCCTTCGTGAGGTCCCCGATCATAAATCTGTCGGGTCGCAGATGTTGCAGTAAGGTTCAATTTCACTCGCTCACCGGAGTGCGATGAAATCCTACCTGCAATTCTTGGGCGGCTCGCTGGTTGACCGTCCTTTGCCTCAGCGCAACCGCGTGCTGAGTCTCATGAACACTTACACGGCCGCATTCCGTACCAGGTCGACGCCTATCACCTCCGCGTGAGGGATGGCCTGCGCTATGTCGATTGTCCAGCTGCCAGAACCTGATCCGACGTCGAGGATCCTGGGTCTATGGCCGTGGTCTGCTTTCGTAACCTGTTCAACCGTTCCGGACAGCTCAGGTGGGTATAGGCCTCCAACTAAGAGTTTCCACATTCTGTGCTGGAGGGCGAGACGCTGTAACCAATTGCACTGACATCAGCACCTATTCACCGGTGGCGAACCTGGTCAGATCTACCTCCATCTCTGTCGCGTCTGCAGGTAACTTGTACACCTGTGCCGATGAGTTTGAGAGGGGTATTGCTGTCGACGAGACAAACATGCCTTACATCGCTGAGGTTATTTCTTCCTCTGCCCTGGACGAGGGTCAGACCTTGTCCTGCATCCTGCTCTTCCGCCATAGCTTCCCGAGATCGAGTGGGTGACGGGCCTACGTACCTCCGCGACTTTTTAAAACTACACGGGAATTGGAAGAAGCTGTGACCCGTGGTTCGACCATGCAGGGCGCCAGCCAGTCGCTGTCCTTCTTTTGAGATAGTGCTCGATACCATGTGTCCCCGCTGTATACCGTTGTGTAGTCTTGTGTAGTCAAGTCTAAACACAATCGTTCGGCATCCCGGCTGTGCATACCAGTCTGTTCCTGGCGCTTACTGTAGATGTCCGTTCCCACCCAATTATGAGGATGTGGATTTGGAGGAAATACTGTACCAGGTCGTGTCTGCTATCTGATTGTACTGATTGATAGGTAGCATTAGTCTGCTTCGATATTCACTAATAGACTGAGACGCCTTGGCTGAAGGTCTATAATCTGCCGTACCTCTCGAACCAACTGCGAGTGTGCGCGGATCAAAGTTCGCCCGCGGAGAGCCTCGGATATATGGACGCATAGGAGTCGGACTTGAAGCTGTGCACGCCACCGTCGCCTACTTGATCGTGTGTATAGGGAGATCTCAGGCACACTGCGAAAAGCAGCCAGTGACGAACGATGCGTTCAAGAAAAAGTGAACCAACGACGCCTGAAGCGGGTGGAACAAGCAAGAAGACCAATCGACAACGTATATATGATGCCAAGAGAGCAAGGGGAGAGATTTCATGCGCTGAATGCCGCAGGTCTGTCCGGCCTGTCCCAGACTCATGCCAATGTTCCCAAGTGACAGTCCTGCCGTAGGTTGAAGTTGAAATGCGACAAGAAGATTCCATGTAACACATGCGTCAAGCGAGGATGTGCAAATATCTGCCCTAACGGTTCGTATTTTACACTACTACTATACTAGAGACAGGCTCGGATTGATGGCCTTCCGCGTCCAGGCAAGTTGTCCACCGGGCAGGGTACCAGGTGAGCCATTGACTAGGTCGAAGTGCACATTTCTGATCTTGATGTCTCTCGGTAGACTAATCTTAGCAGACACCGACGCTTTACACAGAAAAATCACTCAGTTGAGCGAACGCGTCAGACAACTAGAGGATGCTCTTGGGATCATGCAAGCTGCTGTATCCCAGGAGAGACACCCCCTCCTGCGAGATGAGTTGCTCAAGGTGAAATTCTGGCCTGAAGTTACTCAGGATGATGAAGCACAACCTCAAGCTGAATCTCCTGGAGTGGCAGACACCGCGCTGGAGCTTGGCACCCTGAGCATTGGTGAGAACGGAGATGCTAAATATTTTGGTCGTTCCGCTGGGGCCGAGGTACGTAAGAAACCTTCAGCCGGTCTTGTATCATGAAAAACTGACTCCTTTGTAGTCTTTACTGCATGTGAGTCCATCATCCACGCAAGGCTGTAGTCTAACGGGACGTGCACATGTAGTCCCATGATCCTGCAGATGAGCTCACCCTCCCACCGGAGCTGGGTGATTTTCCGGCACTGGTCGCTACTTTCGACGCGTGGAATTCAGACGCACGCCAGGTATTGCAGGCTCTGGAGGCCTCGCTGCCCCCCATCACTCGAGCATGGTCTCTATGCGAGGCTTACTATGAATACTCCGCCTTCTTCCGCCCCGTGAAGCGGGACGAATTCGTGGATCACTTCATGACACCACTCTACGCAGCACTTCGAGAGAACGCGGAACCGGGATCAATTGCAGAGCGCATGCCTCACAAGCTCGCCGTTGTGTATCTCTTATTTGCTATGGGTGCTCTCATGGACCTGACCCAACCGCCATACAATAAGGAAGCTTGGCGATATGCAGTGCTGGGTAAGAATGCCTTACTCATGAAAAGCGTTAAGGAATCTCCCGCCATCGAAACAGTCCAAGCAATGGCTTTGTTAGCGCACTTCTTCAGCCAGTCTGGAAGGCGGAATACGGTGGAGTATTCTTGGGCAATAATCTCGAATTGCCTGAGGCTTGCCCAAAGCGTATGTATTCCTAGCCGCTCCTTACAAGTACTTCGTTCATGGTTCTTATCAATTAGATTGGATTACGTGAGATATACACCTCCTTTTGACCGCTTCTTATTGACAGCGTAGTCGTAGATCGCGATTGCGCAAGATGGGGACTGGAGGAGAAACATATACAAAGACGCCGGTATGTTTTCTGGGAGGTATACAAATGCGGGGTACACCTGGTAAGATGGGGTCTAGACACCAGTCTATGTTCTTACCTATATTGCTCAGAGTCTCCAAGTTGGGCGCCCGCCAACGATAGCAGCGGCGTTTATCGATTGCGAGTATCCCACAGATGACGAACAAACTACGGATAGTCAAGGGAAAGTCGAGCCAGGCTGTTCGCACCTTGTTTTTACGATGTTTCGTGTCGTTGCTGACTAATATATATGTCTTCACAGTTTGGCAATGGCAGTATTCCGTCGTGAAAGACTATATGGCACCCATCCTGGAAGACGCCATTGCGGTGAAACCCTCCAGCTACGAATTCGTCCTGGAGTTTGATCGCAAAATTCGGCAAATGACCGTACCCGAGAGTGTCAGTTTTGTTCCATCTTCAGAACAGGATGGTTACGAGAGGCCTGCCATATGGTTCAAAGTCTGCCGCGTTATGCAGTGCAGATTGTCCCGTTGAGTGTCTTGGCTAGTACTCATGCTTATGTGTGGTGTTAATTTCCGCTTTCACTCAGCCCTGCTCTTCGTTCATCGTCCCTTCTTCGCTAAGGTACAATCATATCCGTATTCCTGTGTGTGTCATGCTTAACCGGATTAGGCTCTGATGGATTATGGCAATGATCCTATGCGTAGCCCATACGCCCCGTCTTACCTTGCCTCATACCGCTGTGCTGTCCTCCTCATAAAATCTCATGTTCAATACTTCCAACGCTGCCCGGACTTATTCTTGAGACTCGGAGGCTTCTGGACATACGTCTTCACTGCCGCGGTACGCACGCGTCTACTCTCACTTGTCGCGGCTCCATGCATCGTACTCATAACCCAACCACAGGTCGTACTCGGTCTGATTGTTACTAGGTCTCCGGGTTCCACTACAGCAACGAACGCCCTGGCATTGCTGGATCTGGCGCTCGACCTCTTTGAGAAGGGCGCTGTGGTGAATGCTCGCGCCCAGCGGGCAATAGTGCGCTCTCCCATTCGTCTTCCGTGGCAAAGCCTTTCTGACGTTTCTCTAGACAT